TTTGTTTTGAAATAGTCTGGTCTAACAAAAGAAGCATTAGGTGATGTTTTACTTCAAAATTCGTTTCAAATATGGGATTCAAAACAACTTATTAAAAAAGGCAAAGAACGACATGTATTTCTATTTGAAACAAGTATTGTGATTGCAAAAATTGTTAAACCAGTTACTCGTGGAGCTGTTCGATATATTTATAAATATAAATTAATGGTTTGAGAAAAAACAAAATAATTTATTTATTTCAAATAAAAATTTAATTGTTTTTAGACGGCAGAAATTTTTGATGTGAAAGAACATTTAGAAGCAGGTGAACCATGTAAATTTGCATTATATACAGGTCGTCCAATGTCATCTCATGCAGCTGATTTACGAGTGACACTTAAAGTAATATAGACATTATAAATCAATTAGATATACTATCATTTTTCTAGGCAAATGATCTTAATACAAAACAACAATGGGTTATTCGTATACGAGAACTTATTCAAGAGAATGATCTTTATCATGATTTAACAATGCATGAAACAAATACAAAACAACCAACACCATCATCATCAGCAGCAATACAAAATAAAATTTCAAATCTTAGTAATATTAATCCATCAGATAGAAGATCACAGGAGATTGCTGATAATGCATCTGATGAATATGAACATATAAGTCGAGGTGGTTCATTATCAAGCATGACAACAGGTTCATTTTCAAGCACTGGCCAACATCATCAAATTCAACAGGTAAGAAAAAAAGAATTAATATAAATAAATAATCAAATCATTAGATAAATATATGTACATATAAATATTTACAGCTAATATCTTATCGATAGCTATATCCGTTTCTTCGCGTCTCCTTTTTTTTTTCTTCTTCTTCGACTTATTCCAAGCATCTTCCCAATTATGGTCTCTAGTAATTGCATATGTTATTCGATGTCTCTGACAGAACGCATTCTGTCAGCGGGATAACCTTGACTATACAATGTTCTTTCTTCGTCCCAATATATATATATATCTATACTTCTGTTGACTTTACGATAAACATCTAATCTCAATAATGTGTGCACATATTGAGATGAAAAAATTTTTTTTGCATTATATAAAAATATACTATGGATTGTATAGTAAATAAACGATTGTATTCAAACGGAATATTTAATATGCTTTTCTAAATAGTAAATATGGACTAATAAATACTCCCTTAGGTGTCGAATACTAAGGCAATTTGCTTTTGCGTTGTATATTTATGTTAACTGTAACAGCAGCTGATAAAAGAACCACAAATATGAATATCGCATTCTGAAACCAATCTAAAGCCGACTTGCTAGATAATATGCAAACATACGTTTCTTTTCTTGCTTTTTTTATTTTTATTTTTTTTTGTCGAGTAAATGACAGTTTTCTTCTTCTTCTTTCGCTATCTCTCTCTCACACTGCTCGTAATAACACAGATGCAACAAGAGAGATACAGAGAAGAGAAGAAAAATAATAAAAGCTTACTATGCTTCTAACGATTGGTGTGGTAGCCATTTGTGCTAAACTTATTTATCATTCTTGAATATGCGCCTGGTTGCTGGTGTCTCTCTCTCTCTTGCTGGTGTCTCATATACATATCATCTATTAGGTGTACATAACGCTAAAAAAAAACAAGAGAAAAAGAGAAAACATATATTCGTATCGTACACAGAGACAGTATAGAAAAAAGAAAGATTCTTTTTTTTTTCTATCATCGGATGGTATAACAAATAAAAAAAATTGTTTCTTTCCAATGATGAATGTTTTGTAACGTATTTTTAATAATAAAAAACAAAATACAAAACGAAATCGATCAGTTTCAATGAATGAGCGGTGAGAAGAAACGACATCGACGAAGACATGGTCCAGTACTAATTGAAGAAAATATTATTATCGATACAACATTAACAACAACTACAATAAAAACTGAAGAACAAAAACATACAGAAAATACAAAACGTCAATGGTATGATAATAATGAAGATGATGAAAGTACGCAAGATGAAACTCAACCAAGAAATTTATCACCAAATGAAAAAATTTCGAAAAAAATCGAACGTGTTTTACGTAAAATCAATGCGTGGACAAATGATGTATCAACAACACCTTTACATAATATCGATGATGATGAACAAGAAATACTAGAAGATACATCGTTTAATACGATAAATCGTCCATCCTATGATAATATTCAAACAGAACAACGCTATGAATCAAATTCTAATCGACCGACACATAATTCCTTATTTAATAGTTTTCGACAGCGATGTTGTTCATCAACATATACCGATCCAAATACGATTAATAGTCAGCAAATATCAGCTCATCGGCCATATTCAATGATGACATTTGGTGATAAATCATTGCCACGAATGACAACTGCATCATGTCTTGTAAACAATGACAATAAGAATTGTTCGTATGAAGAACAACAACAGAATAGAAAGGTGAGAGAGTTCGTGTAAATGATTTAATCGCAAAAATTCTATCCTAATTAATTATATAAACATTTCATTGTTTATATAACTCAAATGAACATGATTGATATTAGTGTATAATCAATAAACAAAAAATTTTAATCATTTGAAGTAAAATATTTTATTTCCAAAGACAGAGAGAAAAGAAAAATAAATCAATTCTAATAGTTCGTAGAAAGGAATAAGACATCTAAGTATCGAGTATTAAATTGTCGGAATAGGAGATTTATCGGATTTTTCTCTAATATAACACTTAAAATGCAATAAAGCTTCGATAATCTATAGTTCTACTAAGAGTTTTAGTTATAATTAGAATTCAACGATCTTGATCAATATCTTTCTTTCATTAAAAAAATAACATTTTACATTTCATTAGTATTTCTATAGAGAAAAAACTCTGTTTTCTTTTTCAATATGGGCAGTTTGTCAAGTAGTATTGATTTCTATTTACTCTAGATCTACAATTAATTATGGTGTATATTTAATAATTATATCTGTTTCTTCTAAAAACAAAAAACCGAACGTCTGCTGTTATGATTTATTAATAAGTTTTATGAGTTTGCATAACTTCCATTAGCCAGACTATATATGATAATAATAACAGTAACAGACTATATCAGACTTTCTTTATCAATGATATTTTAAAATTCATTTGTAAAAAAAACGTCAAGATTATTATGCCTGACTTTGCATAGAATAGGAGTAAAACTTTTGTCAATCATGTTCATTTGATTTTCTTCGCACGAAATAAGAAAAATTTAATCTGACATTTTTGTCTATTAAATTAATAGAAAAAAATGCTCAATTCCAAAGGACATTTTTCCTCATTTCGTCAGAAACAAACGTACGATGATAAACATCCAGCTTTGGTTAATCTATTGAATAATAACAAAATTCGACGTCGATCATCATTTTCTCAATATACCAATTTAGCACCCCTATCATCAATGTATGGTTCTGATTTTTTCTATCCATCCGCAACCGAACGACAACAACAACAACAAGCACAACCACAACATGAATACGATAATTTAACCTTTACTCAAAATTCATCTAATCATCATTATTATGATCCATTGCCAATTCTTATTGATTGTCAACGTTGTAGTCGAAGTATCGATCGATCAACATTTCGCGACATATCATGTCAAGTACCATCCGATGATGAAGAAGAAAAAAATATCTATCAATATGTTCAATTTGAACATCGTCAAACCAAACGATCATCTCCAGTGTATATATCACCAGCATCAACACCACCGCCATGTTTACCGCCAATAGCTAATAGTTTATTATCACCATATCATCGACGACGAAAACTTTCTTTGTCATCTTATGTTGATTTACATAACCGTTCGAGATCAGCTCCATCAGCTTCATCATCAACATTATCATCAAATTCAAGTCATACAAAACATAGATCAGAAAAAAAATCTAAACATTTATTACCATCACTTTCGCCTTTACAATCGGATACAACGATTCTATCTATAACACCTGATTCAGTTCCTGTATCATCAACACCATCGACGACAGCTCTTCTTCGTTCTATAAAAACATCAATATATGCTATGAAAAAACGTCTCAAAGATATTCGTCGTTTGTCCGAGGTGGGTATGTGTTGTTAATGATGATGATGATGATGACGACAACATCAAATATATATATATATGCGCGGATAAGAAGAAGAAGAGAGAGAGAGAGAGAGGGAGACACGCACATATAGAAAAAAAAAAAGAAAAAAACAACATCTGTTGCCTGGCTGGTTTGCCTGTGCACACACTCGCATCTTCATCAACCCATTCTCCATTGTAGAGAAAGGAAAATCCGTGCACGCAACATTTTTTTCTCTACAGACAATGTTTCATTACCTGCGTGCATATCATCATAGCAAGGTATAGCATATCTTTTTAATTTCTAATATTTACTTGTATGTGTGTATGTTGCACTGATAATAATACATGTAGGCGAAAATAAACTGTAAGATTTCTTCTTTTTTTCTATCTCTTTTTTTCATATATTAATATATTTTTCCTTCTTTTTTTTCATGTTCTCAGAACATCACATTAGAATAATAGGAATAAGTGAAGAGATTAAATAGACAAGCCGCCAGCCGTTATTATCTCGTTTTTGTATGTGAATACATCCTATAGTCAGTTGTTAATCGTTAAGAAGAAGGAAAATTCCGAGAAGTTTTCCGAAATAGACTCTAAGCGGTAAGTATATATATATATATATATTTATTCTCTGCTTGATTTTAAGAAAGCTATTTTTCTTCGTCTATCTATTGAATTAACTGATGCATATACCATTCTGATTCATTTTTTGTTCACGGAAATACTAATGGAAAATGCGCATGAATAAAAAATTTTTCTATTTATAATATAGAAAAAAAATGTTGTTTTCTTCTTCTTCTTCTTTTTTTGGTTTCTTATCTCATAAGATTCTTATTTCGATAAGTAATATGAAAAAAAAAGAATATAATTAGAATAGGATATTATAGTCTTCATTTATTATTTGATAGTTCTCGTATATCGATAGCAGGTTGATTTCATCGATGTGTTCGATTATATATTTCCGAAAGGTGACATGAAACCTTTGGGATCATCTATTAATTATTGTTTTAGCATATATAGAAATATGTTCCGGAAAGTCAACATACAAGTGGTATTTCATATGGGAAATATTGACAGATTATTAGCATAAGATGACAACATATTCATTAGATGTTTATAGAATGTTTCCGCTTGACAAGTTACGAGGTTTTCTGCTTAAAATATGCTTTATCTATTATATACATATATATATATATGCAATAAATAACCCCTACTAAGTGTAAACGAAAGAATAAGATAAGAAGAATTGGTTTGCTGTTGTTTATTCAAGTAAACGATCTTTGCTATAATTACTATTGCTGCTGATGCCAGAACAACCTTTTCTTTTCATCTTATTTTACATATGCGTGTGTGCACACGCGTATGTATATGGTTAATAGAAAACGAAGAAAAATGAGAAGTCTAATAAAAATAAAAAGTACTTAGTTAATTTATATAAAACCATCTTTAGCATTATCCGAATTTATTTTTGGCTATTAGATGTCTATATATATTTTATTCTTTGATTGAATTAACTATGAATGTATATTGATGGAATTGAAATCCTTCGCCATTTTTATGAGAGAAATATCTGCAGTTCATGATTTTTTTTGCTTTTATAACAATGTTTTCTTATATTATTACTTATGCGTTTCTTCTCATCAGGTTTGCTCATTCTTCCCATCATTTATATAAGAAAGTAATGAATGTAATAGTGTCTTAGTGCACGAGGGAGCAAGTAAGCAGAAAAGAAACGACAACAATAGAAAGTAAGAAAAAACCGAGCAGAAGAAGAAGAAGAAGAAAAAGAAGCTAAGAGTAGAAAAATAGGATGACGATGACAGAATGAAAAACTACTATATAGAAACAACCTCAATGAACTATATCTGATTCTAAAAACAACAACAACAATAACAACAACAAGAATGATTGACGAATAAAAGAACTTGAGACTAAAGAAAAGTTTTTTCTTGTCTTTCGTGATAATTTTAATCATATAATATTTTATTAAGTTCTAATATCATATACTTAGTTTTTCCTTCTTATTTCCTTTTTTCTTAATGAAGAAAAAAAAAGAAAATCTTCGAATAACGTAAAATAATTGTTGTGATTAATAGAATAATGACGTTGTTTTGATGATGAAAGTAGTAGTTATCGTAATAGCAAACACGGAAAGGAAAAAGAAGGACGACGACTACTACTAACGTCAAAATTACTGAGTCTCATGCTTTGTCGACGACGACGACAACGCACACGCGCTCGCACAAGGAAAAATGGGCGAAGAGTATTATTTAATAAATAATCGTCGATGCTGATTTCATTTTTTTTCTCCTCCGCTACACAACCGTCTTGCACCATACGTGACTGTCGAGATGGCATACACTTGACTGGATAGAAAAACCGATAACACTTCAATTTCATCACTATTCACTTATACATCTATACTCATCTTTAGCTTCGACAAGGTTGTTTGTACTAATCGTCTAATAAATCGAGCTATTTTACTGCTATCTATTCTGTCTCCTGCACTATTTTATGGAATTCTGGCGCAAGATGAAGTTTCGATGGGTAACTAACAAATTTTGATAAATGATAAACAAGTTCATGATTGATTGATTAGTTGGGTGATTGATCGATCATAAATAAATATATATATATATGCATGCACACATATATATATAAATATATAAAGGATTGGCTAAGATATATATATATATAAATATATATTTATTAGAAGAGGGTGTTGGAGAAATTCTTACTTTCATTTAATATGTGTCTTCTCATACTTCTTATATATAAGTATCTATTCTTATTTTTATCATAGGATTCGAACGTGACAACCGTCTTAGACGATTATACGGCACGTAGTTCACAAGAATTGTCTGTAAGTAAAGGACAACACGTTCGTATCGTTCAAAAACAACTTCCTAATGCACCTGATTGGTGTCTTATTCGTTTATTGAACGAACAACATCATCATCATCATAACAATCAATCAAGTCCATCACTTGCTGCTTCATCAACAACAATCACAACCGGTTCATTTGATTTGCCATCACCACCTCCAACTTCAAAATATACTGAAGGACTTGTTCCAGCGGCTATTCTTAAAGCAACTAAATCATCCACGTCAAATATTCATCCACCACCACCACCACCATTAGTTCTTCCTTCACACACTAAAAGTGAACACGGTAAGCAAAATTATTTTTCTATATATTATATATATGATCTAGAAAAATATTCTTATTTATTATAAAAAAATATCAAAACAGGCATGTTCTAGAATTGACCTAGTATTCCCAAATGAAAATAGGAAATAAGGAATAGACTTTTCTTTCCGATAAAAAATATTTCTTTTCTCGTTCTTCTATTTATTTTTTATCATCCAAACAAAAACATTGATTTCTTTTGTCATTTAGATAATCTTCCAAATATTATAGAAGATTCTCAGCACAAACAACCACAATCATCATCATCTGCACATTTTAGTAAACGTAAAGCTAGTTTTAGGTAATTTAATTATTTATTAACAAACATTCAATTAATCATTTATTTATTTTTATATTAGACGAATTCTAAAAAATCCCGTTCGACGTCTTAGTTTAAAAGATAATAGTAGTAAAGATGTTAAAACTCCAACACCACGTGATTTAGCAACTATACCAGCATCATCGACTGTACCAACGAGTAGTATTGGTGATGGTACAACAAGTAATATTTATAATAAAAAACAATCCATATCAACAAATTCCACAACATCAACAAAACTCAAAGTAAATAAAAAGCCAAATAAATAATTGAAAAAATTTAATATTTTTTTATTTTTCTTTTCAAGGCATTCACATTTACAAACTCCGAAGATTTGTCGTCGTTTCCTGATGATACGGTATGGTGTCTTTTGTTTCGATGAGGCAATTTCCGTTTTGTATGTGTTTCTCGACAAGCTTGCAATTATGCTTTGTCATGTTAAAAAAAAAGAAGCCATAATAATAGAGAGTGTGCAAAGAAAAAAAGTTAGAATATTATATAGGCTTATATTCATTTTTCAAGGCAACTATCTCTCAATGACTTCAATCAAAAAACTTGATGCCATTTAAAAAACATTCATTTATATGTTGAAATGAAAAAAAAAAAAATTTATTCTAAAAAGAAAATTTGTTTGGATATTTATATATATTGACTTTCATCAATAGTAATAATAGTAGTAGCATCAGAATAACACTCCTTTTCCTTTTTCTTCTTTTCTTATGCAATTCTTTGCCCGAGGGTGCCTTGAATCACATCTATGTGAACATATTATGAGAGCGAACAAAAATAGAATAACACAAGCAGATTGATGTGATGTGTATATCTGTTACGTAGTCCTTATCGTGTTCTTTCGTATGATTATTACTAGTACTGGTCGTTGTCCTCATCACTTCAACAAGCATATGCATCTTTTTTTTTTCTTCTCTTTCTTTCGTCTTATTCTCTAAATTCAGCTTCTTTCGTGTACAAAAAAAACCCGAACGAACTTTCTCGTTCTTCTGTTCTTAGTATTTTTTTTTCTCTTCTTCTTTATATGATGTATGTTTTCGTTCGACGTCGCCAACTCTGTCATTTGAATGATTATTTGCCTATACTCAATAGGTTTTTTCTTGTGAGCATATAGACTTTAACTTGAAAGAAAAACATACGCATATAGAATAAAAAATGCCTCGTCTTCCGTGGACAAAAAAATATAAATTGTTACCATCATCTAAAAAATGGACTATACGAAAAAATGTAAGTTTTTCTTTTTTGACATATTTTTTATGTTAGCACTCAACAAGCACGCACATTGGTTGAAGTAAATAAGAAGAAAAAAAAAGATGCAGTCGAAGAATAAGAAGAAAACTCGTTCTCGGAAAGTGATGATGCTCGCTTTCGGCACCCATCAAACGACAAAAAAAAAAAAAGAAAAATTGGTGTCGCCATTAGACCCAAGAGAATGAAAGAGGAAGTGAAAGCGTAATTCGATGCTACTTGTGTCTACGAGAAATAGAATGGTGATCAGAGAATATAGTCATATATGAATTGACGATGCTTGTCGTTCTTACATACAAAATTCTTTTATCTTGTTATGAGTTAGACGTTTTCTTTCGTTATATGTTTTCTACTATATGTAGAAAAAAAGAAGAAGAAGAAGAAGAAGAAGCAAAACTATATGATTTTTTATTTTCGTTTCTATTTTTCTATTTATTAGAATTCAGCAAGTAAATCATTCGATGGTAATGGTGGTATGAATGGTATTTTTAAAATGACTGAATCATCTTCATCACCATCAGGTGTAACAACAATGAATTCTCCATTAGCAACACTTACTGGTGATGATTTAGAAAATGATGTAATTGAAGTACCACCACCAATGGATATTCAAGCTCAACCAAAATTATCTGCTGATTCAAATATTGATAAAGTTACTACAGACGAATCTTCATCACTTGTAAGTAATACATAATCCTTTTTAAAGTTTTTAGCCTTTTATTTTTCACGCGTCATACAAGTATTGTTTGATAATCGATTGTATGATTGTCTCTTGTCAGATCAGGTGACGTCAAAAAAAACAAAACAAAAAACAAAACGAAGCTATATATTAATAATAATCGTAGTAGTAACAACAACGACAGTAGTTACTCGTTACTGTTCTTTCTCTCTTTTCTTTCGATTTGCTTGTCTACTTATATGTATATCGTTGTTCTAAGTAATACAAACGTTATCTCGACACATTCATCATATATATTTAGACGAAGAAGAAGACAAGCAGCTAAAGAATGTTGTTAATAAGAAACAAGAGGAAAAAAAAGAAGCAAAATAAAAAAAGAAATTATTATCTCGGTAATGTTCAAATAAATATTATAGATACATATAAGATATTTTTGATCAACAGAATTGTTCCTGTTGATGATTTATATTTATTCATTATAGTTATAGTTAAAAGTGCGGATAATAACACAATTACTTATATTAAACTGTGTAATAATAACACTTCATTGTTCAGTATACGAATGAGAACGTTCGGCTCTTTTCTTTCGATTCTCTCGTCATCTAATTGTGTTGCTTGTTACTGCTTTTCTGTTTCTGATACTGCTTCGGTCGGAACGCGTGTCTGCGCATACACACAAAAGTATGTGTAGGCAAGAACAGTAGAAATGACGTTGGGCATCCGCATTTTTTCGCGCTTACTCTCGAATAATCGCAATAATAATGTTAGGCGACCGGGCGAGGCCAAACGACAACAGGACCAAACGATAGTAGCTGTTTTTCTTTCTTTCTTTGTTTTTTCCTTTTCTTCTTGCGCTCTTTTTTTTTTCTTCTTTCACATATTCTTCTATACTCAGTTCCTTTTTTGCCACTATGCTTATTTATTACCCTTGTTGGTGAATGAAAAAAAAGATTGTCTTGTATCTACTATCGTCAACAACAACGTTCTAACATTGTCTTTTATGACATTTTCGTTTAATGGAAAAACGACAACAATAGTTTTACTAACGGCAACATCGTCATCAATTTCGTCAAAGACACGACGACGCGTGCACATTGTGGTGTTTTGAGCATCTCTACTATTAAGTTAGGATAGAAAGAACCTCTCACTTTATCTTCAACATCCTATTAGTAATACTACAACTACTCCTCCTAGCTTGAGAAGAGTCGACGGGCGTGCATTTCCGCTCGATAGGAGACGGTCCTATCAAGAAAAAACTATTAAGAAGAGAGATAGCAATTGGAATAAGAGAGAAAGAGAGAGGCGAGGCGATACAAACAAAACCACGGACATCAATACAGTTGTACGAAAACTGGTTAACAATATTGCACTGGAGTCGTCCAGAAGCAAAAGTGCTAATGCATCATCGCGTTTACGTAAAGCACGCGTACCACCATTAACAACTGTCAGTCCAATTGAAGATGATTCGGTTATTGCTCGACTTGTTCAGCATGTTGTAAGCTATATATAATAAAAATTTCTTTTTTTTTAAACAAATGCAAAAAAAAAATAAAGATGAATAAAATTAACTAAATTTTGTTTTTGTTCTTCTTTTTCAATAGGCACCAATCAATATGGTTGCTGGACTTTCAGCAAGTGATTTTCATATCCCCGCTGCTTTGTCAGTGACGACACCGTCCATCAATGACGGTTTGACAACAAATAGTTCTCTACAATCGTCAAGTATTCCACAACAACACTCGTCAACAATACCAACATCATCTTCTCTTTCATCATCTCCATCAACAACAACGACAACTAATGCCAATACATTATTATCTTCATCAACGACAACTGTGATTCCAAATGATAATCCTAATGACCAAACAGATGAAGTATCTTTACATGATATTGATGCAAATATCGATCAATCACATAGTTCACTAACAACTACTGATGAACCTGTTGATGATCGAACTAAATATGGTGCAAAACGACGGTAAGAAAAAAACGATTTATCTTATGAGTACATTTAATTTTCTATTTATATATTTTTTAGACATAATATTATGGAATTAATTGAAACAGAAAAAGAATATGTTAAAGATTTAGCCTTAATTGTTGAAGTATGCTATACAGAAAAAATTTAATTTCTTATTAATCTTTTTTCTCTCTCTCTCTCTTATAGAGTTATATGAATATTACTGAAAATGATAAAGAACTTAAAAAACCTGCAGGTCTAGTTGGTCTTGAACGCGTTGTTTTCGGTAATGTACAGCGAATTTATGAATTTCATCGAGAGTAAGTTATAAAAACACGAATAGCTAATCTTTAATTTATTTTCTTCTTCTTCTAAAGTACATTTTTACCACAACTTGAACAATGTATTGAAAATCCTGATATACTTGGTCGATTATTTACAGTATGAATAAATATTTTTGTTTTCTCTCAATTTATTTTCTATTTGTTTAATAGACAAATCGATTTAGTCCTTATGTACGTTATTGTGAAAATAAACCACGTTCCGAATATATTGTTTCGGAATATCATGATTATTTTGAAGTAAGTTTGTTTTTTTTATTCAATCATATAACTAAAAAATTATTTTTGAGCAAGTTAGAATATGTATATAATTAATATTTGTATAAATTTTCCTTCCGTCATATTTTTTTCGCTGATTATTAAAGATAAATGTTTCCGTTTTTTTTTCAATCTATTAAAGAGGGAGGAAAAAGACTCTTGGAAATGAATTCACCCGACGACGAGGATAACAAAACTAGAATTTACTAAGGAACAAGAATAACATTTATGCATTTTTTTCAATTAATGATTTCCGCTAAAGAAGAAAACTTGAATCAGAGATAAATTAAAAAACATTTAATATATATAGAGTTTTACCAGATGGTAGATTCTATATGAATATTTGATATGCTTTCAACCATGTAATTTCAAGGCGAACTTATGAAAAACACTCCTGTGCCTAAGGTCGATATAGATCGATATTGACAAGCATCATTCAAGCAAATGCAAGAGTTAAATTATAAAAGCATTGAACTAAAAGACTTCTAGTGATATGAATGACTATTGAAAGTTATTTCTATGGATTTAATTATATTGATGTAGATGCATTTTTTCATATAAACTTAAAGAATGTCAAGGATTTTTTGCTATGTTTACGTGATAGAACATTATGGATAAAAAAAAACAAAGAATGTGGGCTTTTTCTGTATGTATCTATCGAGGAATGAAAGAATATCGAAGCCTATAATCATAAAGTACTTTCATCAAAGCTATCAATCATAGTCGAATAGAATAAATAATAAAGCTTGATGTATCCAAAATTTTCCGATCTCATAATGCTTTGTTTTTATGTTTATTTACACACTCACTTGCTTTTGACTTTTAATTAGAATATATTGAACCTATAAGAGACTAAAATATAGTACATGAAGGGTATTATTTTAACCTCTAATTCATAGCAAAAAAAAACACAATCTATGTTATTGATAAGATTCAACAAAAATAATTTCCATTAGTTGTCGTTTCCTTTTCATTTTTCATTAATCAGAAAATAATTTGATCTATATATATATATTCTCTAGGAAATTCGTAAAAAACTCGGTCAAAAATTACTTGTATCTGATCTATTAATAAAACCCGTTCAACGAATAATGCGTTATCAATTATTGCTCAAAGAAATTCTTAAATCAACTGAACGTATGGGTGATGAATCACGTGCTATACGTAGTGCTTTACAAGTTATGATTGAAGTACCACGACAAGCAAATGATATGATGAATGTTGGTCGTATTAAAGATTTACCAACAAATGTACATCAATTAGGTGAACTTAAATTACAAGATATGGTATCTGTTAGTGAACCAATATCAAAAGATACAAAAGATGCAAAAGAAGTCGAAAAAAAATTAAAAGAACGACGAGTATTTTTATTTCAACAAGCAATGGTATTTTGTGAAGAAATTCCAGCTAAAGATAAATATTCAAGTCCAAATTATATTTATAAATATGATTTAAAAGTAAATCTATATTTAGTTTGTTTTTTTGAATCTTATGAAATTTTTCTATTTTATTTAGATTAATAAATTACAACATAAAGAATTTAAACGTCATAAAGATTCATTTCAATTTACATTAGTAGAAGTTGATGCAGGAAATACACGTCGGGTTATATGTCAATGTAAAGATGATGAACAATTTGAATTATGGGTTACAAATGTAGACAAGGTGCTTCAACGTCAGATGGATCTTATTATAGGTATGTATGATGATAAAGACTTGTTTTGAAATTTCTTGATGGCACAACATAGATTATTTCTCTAAAGATTAAAATCTCGATAGAACATATATATTAAATATTTATAAAAATATGTCTGTTTGTTATCTTTTTAGCTCTAACTAATCCGACAGCTGCTTTACAAAAAGAGTAAGTAATTTTACAAGTAATTTTAATATCTATTTATTATTTATATATATTCTAATTTATCTATTAGTCCTCGTTCTAAGTAAAACTAATAATCTTATACATACATACAGATCAATAAGAGAGAGAAAAATATATTTACATCTTCCGTAAGATAACATCGTCTGTGTAATATTATTTTAAATACATTTATTATCTATTCCTAAGCTTTTCATGTGTATGATCAGTTTTGTTCGCATGTATATATATATATATTTCAGTTTATACCTGCCTGTTCCTAAGTTTTCTTTTTTGTCTATTTTTTGTTATGTATGTTACATGTAAATCCTAGGTTATTGTCATGGGAACTACCCGAATGGCGTCAATCAGTACGGCGACGTTTTGCTACCAGTGCTCATGCATTTGTTTCATCACATACAAATATTTGACCTAAATTATTATTATAAAAAAAAAGCAAGGATAATATTTTAAAAAAAAAACCGCTCCTGCCGAGCTTATGGTTATGTTTTTTTTGTCTGATATGAGCTTATATACGCTGTGCTCTAATTTTAATACTAAAACCCAAACATATAAATCAAATATTTGTTATCTAAGAATAAATTAATTAAATATTTTATTTTTAGGCAAGATTCGTCCATGTCATTGTTTACACCAACAATTATTACTTCGTCATCATCATCATCATCATCATCTCGAAGTCAAATTAAAAAATCTATGTCTGATCGTTCAGGTAAATCACCTGAACCATTATCACCAACGAATCATTTATCAACATCACCAAAAGTTTCCAATACACTAACATCACCCTCACGAACATTATCAAGTTCGGATACAACAACAATAACAACAGAAACTTCAAATAAAAAATCATCTTTTCATTTATTTGATTCAATTTTACAACGTTCAGTAACAAAACCATTATCAATAAATACTTCAACACATCATGATACAACAACACAACAAAAAAAATTAGCAACACCAACCTCATCATCATCTTCAACAGCAACAACTACAACAACAAATACTCAATTACCTGAACAAGCACGTTGTTTATATCATTATAATGCAATAAAAGAAGATGAAATATGTGTTCATAAAGGGGAATATGTACAAATTGTAGCGGCTAATCAAGATAATCGATGGTTTGTTCATCGTGATGCAAATCGAACATCACCAGCTGCTGAAGGTTGGATACCAGGTTTTGTTCTTGGACTTAAAAATCCTAATTCAACATTACATTCAAATTTATCTCCGTCACCACCACCACCACCACCACCCTCATTACTATCCTCACAACAACATTCGTCATCATCTCTGTCAGCTAACAGTCTTCATCGTTCAACGACATCATCATCATCGACTCATCATCCAACAATTTCCTATGAATCAACTTTACCTCCTAAACCTCAAACGAGTACTTGCGACAAGGTATAAAAATATTTACAAAAATAAATAAATAAAAGCTCTCTTATTCTTCTTTTTGCGTGCAAATGTATATGCAGGATGAGGATACGAATCTCTCTGTTAGAAGTTTTCTGCGAGCAGCAATCAAATATGCTATATCTTTCTTTATGTATTATATACTATATTTTGTTTGTAATTTGTGTTCTTTCCTCATATTTCAATTTCTGTGTGTATTTTCTCAATTTGCAAAAAATAAACAATAATGTATGTGTATGTCATTGTGTGGTTTTGTTTTATTTCTTTTTTTTTCTCTTTTTCTTCTGCTCGCTCCGCGTTCTATATAGCAGCTCACACAAACATGTTGTTTTATTTCTTCTTTTTTTTTCTCTCATTTTTTCTCTGTTATTTTTGTTCCGACAAAATATTAATGATGATCAATTAAAATATGAGATTGAATGAAATTACATTTCGAAAAAACAAAGAAAAAAAAAGATAAATATATATATTATAAAACTAAATGTTTTCAATACAGCAATGATGATCTGTTGGTAAAAATGACCTTGATTATTTCCAGGGAGATACAAAAAAAGTGATACTGTTTAAACATATATATAGATATATATATCATGTAATCGTTCGTACCATATTTATCTTTCTGTTGTGTCTGTAGATTCGCTCGATATCGTATCTGTGTTTTTGTTATTGTTTTTCTTCTTAATGTTTATACGTATCCGTATATTTGTGGATAAAATTTCGTTGTTATTATTTTATTCATATTCTTCTTTTTTTTTATAGCGTCTTAGTGGTGTTTTACGCCATTGTGGACCTGAATTGAATATATCTGTACATGAAAGAAATGTTTTTCTTGGTCAATCACTACTTCTTCAAGGTCATGTAATTGGTGATCCACGTCCAGCTATTGTTTGGCGACATCCACGTGGTCATACATTAGTTGATGATGGTGTTAATATTCATACACATTATGGAGAAGATGGAATTATTTATTTACAAGTATACATATACACATATATAAGGTTAAATATAATGAATTCTATTTATTTTTAGCTTCTTAGTGTATCTATACAAGATGCTGGTATATACGAATGTATAGCTACAAGTTCTCGAGGAACTGTTTCACAACAAATACATGTTCAAGTCAAAGGTAAATTAATCGAACTTATATAGATAAGAACAAAAAAACAATGGAAATTTTTTAGATTCAAATGATTATCATAAACTTGAACAAGTTCGATGGTCATCAAAATATGTACCAAATGAATATCGTGAATTGAATGAAATAGCAAGGTAAATAATCATATTTCGAATATTTTACTTTTTTATTCATTATATATTGCATAGAGGACGTCATTCCATAGTTCGTCAATGTATTCATATATCATCCGGTGATGTCTGTGCGATAAAATTAATATCAAAAAAATTTATTTCACATGAACGAGCTTTACATGAATATGCTCTTGTTTCATCAATTCGTCATAATTCTATAATAAGAGTTTTTCAATTTATTGAAACCAATACATTTTCAATCATTATTTCCGAATTGTATGATTATTCTATTAGTTTCGAAGAAATTTTTTTACATTTATTTATTTCTATAGAATATCCGGTGGACGTTTATTGGATTATCTTTGTTTACAATCAATAATAATTGAACAAAAAATAGCAAAATATATACGACAATTATTAGATGCATTAAATTATTTACATCATTCAAGAATTGTTCATTTAGATCTACAAGTATGCATATATTTGTATATCGAATTTAAAAAATATAGATTTTGTTTTAGCCGGAAAATCTTCTGATTAATATTGAATATGATCAAATCAAATTATGTGATTTTGGTGATTCAATTCGTTTATCAAACATGAGATATGTTCATCGTATGAATGGAAATATTGAATTTGCAGCACCGGAATTAATTAATGGAAATACTCCTGTTCATTATAAAACAGATATATGGTCAGTTGGAGGTATTTTATATACATTATTATCGGGTCTTTCACCATTTCTTGATGAAACTGATGAACAAACATGTGCAAATATAATGAATATTGATTTTAATTTTCCAGAAACTTTATTTCCGTGTACATTTCAATCAGCAATAGATTTAATTGAAAAAATATTTGTTCGTGAACCAAAGTAAGATTTCATTTTCCTCATAATAATAATATTTATTGAATTAATTAACTATTTAACAGTAATCGTCCGTCAGCAAGTGAATGTTTAGAAAATGAATGGTTTCATCGTGCTGGTCAATATCAAATTTCAACAACTAATTTAAATAATTTTATTGAACGAAGAAAATCTCAAGTGAAAAGTCTCAATTAATTCCATCATTGAAATATAGTTTCATTTTTTGTTTGTTCAGTCTGATAAATTCTTCATGTTTTTTTGTTCTTCTGATGTGAATTTGTATGTGCGTGTGTGCAATTATTCTTCTATATTCTTATCATTATTATTATTGTTGTTGTTAAATGAACAAGTTTTCTTAATCTTCTTTATATTTAATATTCTAGAGAAAAACAAAAATCATGTTTGTTCGTATTTGTCTTCTTGCTATTATTATTAGCTGTATTCAAGCGCAAATTGAACTTACTTTACCACCATTACCGTATGCATATGATGCAATTGAACCAGTTCTTTCTAAACATTTAATGCAATTACATCATGATAAACATCATCAAATATATACAACTGAAACAAATAAAATCCTTAAACAAATGTATAATGATGAAAAAGGTAGTAAAGAATTAAAAGACTTAACAAAACAACCAATTGAATTCATACTTTCTCATGTTCAATATTTACCTGAAATATATCAAGTCGGTTTGAAACAATATGGTGGTGGTTATCTTAATCATAAGCTTTTCTTTTCAATGTTACAAACACCAACTGCTACAGCTGATGAAAATAAACCAACAGGTCCATTATTTGTAGCAATTGAAAAAGTCTTTGGTTCATTTGATAAATTCAAACAAGTATTTACTGATGTATCACTTGAAGTTTTTGGTTCTGGTTGGGTTTGGCTTTATATTGATGATCAAACTAAACAAATTAATTACAGTTTTGCAGCTAATCAAGATAACCCGTAAATAAAATATATTAAATAATATTATAATGAATAATAATTTCAATTTTAGAATTATGTTCAATAAAAATCATGTTGTTCTTTTGGGTATTGATCTTTGGGAACATGGTTTGTATAGAACTATTAATCTATAAGAAATTTTTATCTTTATTCTTTCTTTAGCTTATTACCCAGTTTATGAAAATCGTCGTAGTGAATATGTTGATAACTTTTGGCGTATTATCAATTGGTCTTTTGTTTCTCAACTTTATACTGAAGGCATTGCTAAACATACTGATCTTTAAACAACGAATATTCTTCGTTTTATGAACTATTCCGGTGCTTACTGTCGATTTTATGTTTTATCTTTCTTTTTTATATGTTTCTAAAACATTTTGTGATAAGTTCGATCTTTCTAATAAAAACAAAAAAACTTAAATAAATAAAGTGTTTCTTAATCTTCTTTATATTTAATATTCTAGAGAAAAAACAAAAATCATGTTTATTCGTATTTGTTTTCTTGCTATTATTATTAGCTGTATTCAAGCGCAAATTGAACTTACTTTACCAGCATTACCTTATGCATATGATGCGCTTGAACCAGTTCTTTCCGAACATTTAATGCAATTACATCATGATAAACATCTTCAAACATATACAACTGGAGCTAATAAACTACTTAAAAGAATGTATGATGATGAAAACAGTAGTAATGAATTAAAAGGATTAACTAATCAATCAATTGAATTCATTCTTTCTCATATTCAATATTTACCTGAAATATATCAAGTCGGATTGAAACAATATGGTGGTGGTTATCTTAATCATAAACTTTTCTTTTCAACGTTACAAAAACCAACTGCTACAGCTGATGAAAATAAACCAACTGGTCCATTACTGAAAGCAATTGAAAAAGCTTTTGATTCATTTGATAAATTTAAACAAATATTTACTGATGTATCACTTGAAGTTTTTGGTTCGGGATGGGTTTGGCTTTATATTGATGCTTATACTAAAGAACTTAATTATAGTTTTGCATCTAATCAAGAGAATCCGTAAATAAAAAATATTAAATAAATTTATATTAAATAATAATTTCAATTTTAGAATTATGTTCAATAAAAATCATATTACTCTTTTGGGTATTGATCTTTGGGAACATGGTTTGTAGATAATTATTGGTCTATAAGATTTTTTTATTTTTACTTTTTCTTTAGCTTATTATCCAGTTTATGAAAATCGTCGTAGTGAATATGTTGATAACTTTTGGCGTATTATCAATTGGCCTTTTGTTTCTCAGCTTTATACTGAAGGCGTTGCTAAACAGACTGACGACATTGATAAAGAAACTGACGGCATTGTTAAACATACTGGAGGCTGTCCTATGCATGCTGGTATCTAAATAACGAATATTCTTCGTTTTATGAACTATTCCGGTGCTTATTGTTGATTTTATATTTTGTCTTTCTTTTTTATATGTTTTTAAAACATATTGTGATAAGTTTGATCTTTCTAATAAAAGCAAAAAAAAACTAAAATAAATAAAGTCAGATCAAAGATAGAAAATTTTTCTTCCAGAATAAAGATGAAACGACTTGGTATTGTTTGGTTTCGCGATGATCTACGATTACATGATAATGAAGTAGGTTCTTATTTGTTTTATTTCTTATAGTAAATGATATTTATCTATTTCTACAGACGCTCGCATGGGCTCATATGAATAACGATTATGTTATTCATATATATTGTTTTGATCCACGCCAAATAACAGCTAAAACATACAAATGTGATTTTGTTAAAACTGATAAATATCGATTAAAATTTCTTATTGAAACAATTGAAGATCTCAATACATCATTAATCAATAAAGGAAGGTTTGCATAAGATTTAATCATTTTTCATAGAAGATGTTAATAATCTTATTCTATATAGTGGTCTTTTGACTTATCGCGATACACCAGAAAATGTTCTTACTCAATTGATTGAACAATTTAAAAATATTTTCGAAATAACAATTGCTTTTCAACAACAAGTTACACAAGAAGAAACAGATGTTGAAAAAACAATTCGTCAATTGACTATCGATAATACTATACATGTGAAAGAATTTTGGACATTAACATTATATCATCCTGATGATTTACCATATAATAATCCAAAAGCGTATGTTATTTATACGATCTTTTTCTCTCATTATTAAAATGTGTTTTTTACCTCAATAGATTTCCAGATGTTTATACACAACTCCGAGTAGCACTCGAAAAACAAGGTGTACGAGTACGACGTTTAATTAATATTCCGGATACTTTTAAACCATTGCCTGATGGTATTATCTCAACACCTGTACCAAAGTTGTCAGATTATGGATACTCAAGTATGAAATATTCTGCTTTGCTATTCATTTGTTAGCAGTAATTTTCTCTTGTAGATGAAACTATACATACAAATAGTGTATTTACATTACAAGGTGGTGAATCATCTGGTCTTACTCATCTACATAACTATATTTGGAATAAAAATTTAATTAAATCGTATAAAGAAACACGAAATAGTTTAACTGGTCCAGAAAATTCAACGAAATTCTCACCATGGTTTGTAAAAATCTATTTGAAAACATGAATATACTTGATTGAATACGTATATTAGGTTATCAAATGGATCATTATCTCCTCGAAAAATTTTTTTTGAAATTAAAAAATATGAAAATGAACAAAATATACATGATGCTGGATATTGGATTATATTTGAATTACTTTGGCGTGATTTTTTTAAATTTATTGCAATGAAATATGGTACACGACTTTTCTATGGACGTGGTCTTAAATTAGAACCATATATATGGAAACATGATTTAAAGCCATTTGAAGCATGGAGAAGTATATAATCATTATTGGAAAAAACAAACTACTATTAAATATTTATTTGTTTTCTTTCATAGCTGGTAATACTGGTATTCCATTTGTTGATGCTAATATGCGTGAGATTATGGCTACAGGTTGGATGTCAAATAGAGGAAGACAAAATGTTGCAAGTTTTCTTACGAAAGATCTTGGTATTGATTGGCGGTGAGTTTTTTTTTTGATTAATAAAAAATATTTTTTCAATATATTATAGATATGGAGCAGTATGGTTTGAATCGATTCTAGTAAATTTTTCTTTTCTCAGTTACTTATTTAAATCAATTAATTTCTATTTGAATTTAGATTGATCATGATGTTTGTTCAAACTATGGAAACTGGATATATGTTGCTGGTGTGGGAACTGATCCAAGAGAAAATCGACATTTTAATGTAGTTAAACAAGGATTTGATTATGATCCTAATGTATGATGATATTATTAATAATCTAATGTAATAAATTATATTGTTATAGGGTATCTTTGTACGAATATGGTGTCCTGAATTAGCTCGATTACCAAATGAATATATTCAAACACCATGGTTAGCACCAGCTCATATTCTCAAAGAAGCAGGTTTAGAGCTTGGAGTTAATTATCCTCGACCAATTATAATTGTGCCACAATGGAATCAACAAGTAAATTTTTATATTAATATATATGTATATATGTATTTATATTTTTTAGTTTCAAAATCGTCGAAAATCAATACAAAATCAACATCATACACAACAACGTGGCATAAACTTTTATTTTAAAAATCATGAAAAACGATAATAACATTTGATGATTATATTGTTAACTCTTATCTATTTAATTATTTATTGGTTTTTGTTTCTTTTTATCTTACTGGTAGTTTGAATATTTAAAAATAAATTGGTGAAAAATCTTATTAATTCACATTTAAAAAAAATGATTAAAACTCAATTCATTCCTATTGGTCAGACATGCTGTAGATTCATACAAAAAGAAATTTTTACAATTGATTCACAGTTTCACATTTTAGCTTTGATAAATAATATGATTTTTTCTTATTCTTAATGTAAATGACAAATCAGGTAAAATCGATTATGATTAAATAATATATATACGCAGGTCTACACAAACGGTGGAAAAATGCTTTCGGAACATGTTCACGCGTTCTGGGTTGTCAGGAGTAATTATTGTAAACGATTCACAAAAAATATCAAATTAATGTTCTTCTTTAAACCAAGATTACACTTTGACCAGTGTATTTTCGAGTTTATTTATAACAAAATGATACAATTAATGTTTAGATAGACAAAAAATGATAACTGTCATAATAATATACATAAAAACAATAAATAGCAAAATGAAAGTACACGAAAACTATAGCCATAGAAGTTCGCAACAAAAGATAAACAAAAAAAACTTTAGTTCCATATCATAATCAAATGAAAAAAGATAAAAGATATCAAGTTCATGAAATGACAAACAAAACAAGACTAAGCACATTATATCTTATTAATATTCATAAAAATATACAAATATTTTACCTTGAGAAATTATTTGAGTTCACATAGTGTTATCTCCATACTCTATTGATTCTGCATCAATATTAAGATCACTATCATTATCTAATGTTAACACACCTATTTGTTTTTTACTTTCCATTTTCCAAAAACAAAACTAAGAGGTGAATGTATCAATGACATTATTAAAGAAAGCTTATGATTGCTTTTCTCGATAACTATGACCGCGTCGTTGATTACCTCTAATAATTTTTCCTTCGTTATTCCAAAAACCAATAATTTTATCATCATCATCATAGAAGAAAGCAGCTTGAACTCCAGATAAAGAATTAGCTGCACGTCATGAGAATAATGTTGTAATGTAGGTTGTTCACCTTTGATTTTTTTTCTGTACTTTCACTGGTTTCTTCATGTTTACGATCAATAATTTCTTATTTGGAAAATAATTCATTAATCAAGTTTTTCATAAGGCAAGCTGGAGTTGAAGGTAATGGAATAGTCAATAAACTTCAACCATTATATTTCTAAGATGTACGAATTATTAGAGAATTAGTACAGAATAATTTACAATTATTGAAAGTATAACAGGTGGTTCGTTCGGTGTTTGACACTAAAATAGAAATGAGAATTTATGTTATTACTGCACTGATTATGCTTAATATATAATTATACTTCTGAATAATTTTTTTAAGGAAAAGTTGAAGTCACACGGGAAAAATAATCGATCATCTGAAAAATAGACATGATGTTAGGTTTATTCATCAACTAAACCAAACATTTAAATAGAATCCATGTATAAAAAAAATTATGATATATTTATCTAGAATATAAGAATCATTAAATATCCTAAAAAAAATACGAAGTTTTTTAGAAAGAGTTCTGTAAAATTCAAGTTATAAATGCTCTCTATTGTGGCTACCATTTTTCATCATATAATTTATTAATGTTCTCTATGAGGAAGATAAGAACGTAATAAATGCGTTCCGAACGAACGCCCTCTACTAAACGAATTTTCAACACGTACAGAATGCGTTCCGAACGCGTTTTAATTCGTTCATACGTTCGGAAGGCGTTTTCACTCCGTTTGTCTCGAGCTGGGATATATCTAAGATCTTCAATAAAATAAACTGTTGGAGATACTTATATACATTTGGCAAAGTAGATATTTTCATATATGAAAAACCATCTTGAGAATGAGTGCGTGTCGGTGTGGTTGTTATAATCTTTTCATACTCACACCAATACCCTCATCCACTCTCGAAATAAAAAATATTTTCTTTAATAAAATTGTTGCTATTCTTTGACTATATTTCCATTTATTTATAACAATTATTCTTGTTTAGATTTAATTTTATTATGTTTTCCTCAACTAATTAAAATGTGAGATTGTATAATATAAAATCTAAACTTTAATAAGAAATCAAATGAGTTCAAGATCAAGATTATACACACGTTTTCGTCATCAAAACAACACACATTCAATCAAAAAGACTCATCTTGTTATTTTTGATATTGATGTCGATCAATCGATGTTATCTGATTTAACTATTGAAATGAAGATATTTAATGAAGATGAAATTGATTTATGGTTTGATTATATAACATCAGATGTTAATGAAATCTATCTAATTGTCTCAAATCTTCTAGGTTATACGTTTATTCAATTCATTCATGATTATCCACAAATAAAATCAATTTATATATTTTGTAAAGATCCACAATATAGAAATTATTCAAATACACTAACAAAATTACAAGGTACTTTCGATGATATAAATGTGATGTGGCAACAGTTTCAACATAATTATAATATATTTTACAGTTATTATGATTTCCAACAAAGTACATTTAAAAGCATTAATTCGACAAGTGCTGAAAGTGTTTGGTGGATAGTTTTTTATAAGATTCTACAACATATTAAACATACAAACATTGCCAAGGATGAATTTATCGAATTTTACCGAAATTCTGTTGGAGATAGCGAACGCCAGTTAAGAAATATACAAGAACTGGTTGATCGTTACGACTCTACTGAAGCTATTTATTGGTATACCAAGGAGTCTCTTACGTATCCTTTATTGAATCAAACACTTCGAACAGAAAAAAACATCAACAATATATTTAAACTCCGATTATTCATTACGGATCTTATATCTCAATTAAGAATTCTCCAATCAGATCAACGTAAAATCGGTGACCATTCTCTCCTAGTGTATCGTGGCCAAGCGATGCTAACAGAAGACATCCAACAACTCAAATCCGCTATTGGTAACTCAATAAGATACAATAGATGTCTTTCCACTCTTTTAAATAGAGATATTGCGTTGGGGGTTGCTGAATATGCACGCGAGAATCCGGATCTAGAACGTGTACTAATGACAATTGAAATAGACTCCAACAATATTAATAATAATACAGCACCTTTTGCAAATATTTCTCAACACAGTTATGATAAGGATGAAGAGGAAGTTTTACTATCAATGAATTCAATACTATTAATTGAATCTGTTGAATTAGATGAAAATCATCTTTGGAATGTTCGTTTAAAATATATAGATAATCAATGGGATGTCGAGTTTGATGAAAGAAGTATTTTTAGTCGACACGGTGAAAAAATCTTTATTCGACATTTATCAAAAGAAAATAACCAATTTATTGCTTTTCAATTATTACTGGATTTTATTTTGAGATTAGAACAAACATTTTATGCCGAACAGGAACTTTTAGAGTTTGCTCGATCAAAATATGAAAGTAATCCAGCGCAATTGGCAGAAATCGATGATTTCGAAAGAAATTATCGACCGGAAGATGCTGTTAAATGGTTTTCAAAAGATAATTTTCTCTATCGTTTATTAAATGAATCACTTCGTACCGAAATTATTAATGATATTGTTAAAATGAGATATTTTATTTATGACTTACATAATCAATTAGCTGAATTACAATTATCTTTTATTGACTCATTAAATGGAAAAAAAGAAATTGTTTTATATCGAGGTTTACTAATGAAAGTCGCTCAACTTAATGAATTAAGAGAAAACTTTGACGGTTTAATTTCAATGAATAGTTTTGTATCAGCAACACAAGATGAATATGTAGCGATTGTGTTTTCTGGTGATGGAGAACAAACAATTCCACCAGATGAAGTATCAGTCATCTATGAAATGTTAATTGATACTGATATTCGATCAACACCATATGCAAAAATTCAAAGTACTATAGTTGACGAAGAAGAAGTTTTGTTTTCAATAGGATCAACATTTCGTATTGGAAAGATTAATGAAATACGTTCACGAGTGTATCGAGTGAAATTAACAATGGTACATAAAGAAGATGAACTATGGAATAAATTAACAGCACATCTAGACTCTTAAATATTATAAAAAGAGATCTATACATATTGTAAACAGTGTTGTCACCTCTTCTGCTTTTCTTCTGTTGTTTTTGCTTTTTAGATTTCTTTGTTTTTTTATATTTTTAATAAAAACTCAATATTTGAACCGTTCATTTTGTCAAAATAATCATTTAACACAAAGTCAGATTGTAAGATTCGAGCAACTCCGGATGTTATTACTTTCTCTTACTCCATCGCCAAATTTGAAAAAACTCTTATGTTTTTTATTTTCATTATCTTGTAGTAATGCTGATATTGAATCTGTATTTTCATAAATGAAATATTTAGTAAATGACAAGCGGAACTGTAGTATGACAACAGAATTAGTGTCAGCTAAATTAAAGTGTGTTGATATGTACAGGTATATATTATCAAACCGGGATATATTGAAAGCTATTAGGTGAGATGAAAAATATACGTTTAAAAAAATGTTCAGTAATTGTATTTATCTATGTTTAATTTTGTTTTTCTGATTTTTTGCACTAGAATATAAAATATAATGCTAAACTTATTATTTTATTACGGCTGGACTTAAACCATAGTTTGATATTAAGACACACTTTCTGCTTGTCGAAGCGCAACAGGTGGCAACACTATTTTTTATGTAGCATTGTCTATATAAACTTTCATCAAGTGGAAACATTAACAATAAATAGTTGTTAAAATACGTCATGTAAACATCTCTAATGTATAATGTAATTAATTATTTGTTAAGCAATGGTGATAAAATGATGATTTTTGGTCGATTAAAAGCAAGACAGCACTTCATTGAATTGATAACTTTAAGGACAAAATACAGTAGTGACATTGACTTAGTCTTAAATTTCTTGTTATGAGTTAATAAGTATTATGAAAGAATAAGTTTTGTTATAGAATATTTTTTGAATTATGACGTTTTTACTTATTAATAAACTAATTATAATTTTATATACTAGTTATATTATGAAATATCAAATAATTATATGAAATGAGAAAGTTTTCATTGACTACAATATTCCATTGAATCTCTAATCTAAGTGCATCGATTGTTTAGCATTTTGTTATATGTGAATAGGAAGTTATGAATAATAATACAGTATAATGCAATCTACTCAGTTTATAAAATACAAAATAATTGTCATTCATGTTTTAGTAAGTGTACCGAATTGACCTTTGAAATTATTGTTTGCTACGCTAACTATCCGAGAAGACGAAGATCAAGGGATTTTAGTAAGATACATGTCTAATGTACTTTAGAATAAAAATTTTCTCTTCAAGATAATGTTGCTATCATACATGATTGTATACAATAGAAAGATAAAAGGAATGTTGAGATAGTATATTTTGTGTTCTACTTTGAGAAAGAGTAAACAGTGATAATCATATAGCTATTGATGAGAAGCCTATTTCGTGATATGATCTCTAGGTATTCTATTTCTTTTTAAATATCTTACGAGTACAAGGTCGATTAAAATAAAACAAAGGAAGAATAAAGGTCGATCTATAGTTCTTAGCTTTTATTTGCATGTATGATGATTCCAAATAATCTTTATTTCTACTTACGTGACACGTAGGAGTTGACAGAGCAGCTGATGTGTAGGGGGTGTTACGTTATTTTTACTTTTTATTTCTTTTACCTGGTAATTGATAATAATTGTTATTATTTCTATTACTTTTTACTGGTAATTACATTAGTTTTCTTATTTTATTGATACGAGAACTTGCATTCTATTTTAGTAACATACTCTTGAGATTATTACTATATTACTGATTCTAAGTAATATTAACATGAAAGCTATAAAATAGCATTGATAAAAAGGAGCAGATACAATATAAAGTCATAAATATTGTTTTTTATAATTCTAAGTACTGAGGTTCTTCTGACATACTTCTTACCCAACAGAACTTCTGTTTTTCCAGTTGTCTGGTGCAATACCAAAACAAAGTTTGTCGAAAACTGAAATATCCACTGAAACCTGGATAGTGAGAATTGCTTGAGAAATACAGCATAAAATAAAATCAGTTTCTGTTGGAAAGTCAAAGTAAAACGTAGGCATGATATTCTGATGTATGAGCAGACATAGACTCGTTGAGCCGAAATGTTTTTATTACTTTTATGAGTTATTACTAAAGTAATGTACCACGCATATTCATGATAGTATAAATTATACTCGGCATACGTTGCAACTAAAGAATTCGAACCTTACTAATACATGAAGACTCGCTCTATATCTATATATGAAAGATTTAGTTTTACATAATCTTTGATTTTTATAATTCAGACCGATACTATATGGTGTATCATACTCGAATGAACACAGTAAGTATATATGTTTACATAATTGAATACTATGAATAGCGACATTGAAATAAAAAAAATGTGTATGTGTCATTTTAACCTTAACTTAATATATGATGACGTGAAAAGAATTAAGATGCGCAATATGTTCAAAAGAGAAAATTAGAGAGAACCAAACTTTTTAATTCTAGATATATAGTAAGTGTTTGGGCATTAATAGAACTTGAACTGAAGTACTGAGACGTACAAAGAAAAATAATTGATAATACTTTGACTAGATCGGCAAGACCTACAAACAGGTATGTGTTTCGTAAAAAATTGCGATTCATATTTGAAGATCTTTTCTTATAAATGTAAAAGAAGAATTTCAAAGATTTAAAGCATTATGTAATCAACGCGAATTGATTCGTCACATTAGAATTTTATTGTAGTATTACATTTACATCACTTTTACCCGCTAAATTGATAGCATATTCTTTTTGACCTATATCGGATGTACCAAAAGTTTTGCATATACTTCGATATGAAAAAATGATAAAATATTTGTTGTTTTTTGGAAATATTCACTACGATAAGCTCTACAAGAACTACATAAAAAAAGTTCCATTAGTTTATTCTGATAATTTTGCTATATTTAATATGAACCACTTATATGGTAGTGTTTTATTTCCGCATGAAAAACATGTCTGGAAAGTTTTCTTGTTTGTAATAGAATTTTTTATTACAACCTTTGTAGAGCTTTCGATGGTGCATCTTTTTCAAAAAAAACAATATTTTACCATTTACTCAAGTCCAGATATATGCAAAATAAAATTTTACTACGTATATCATGAAACACTCTTATTACAGAAATAGTACTAGACGGAAATTAGTAGTTAAATAAATAATGGCGGTAATGTTGTTACTAAAAAAAAGTCATGTTTGTATCCATCTATAGGAAATTGATGGGAAACGACTTGTCTACAACATATGTGTTTATCATTGAATTTAATAATTACGATAAATAGTACTTGTGTAAGTTTATAATGTAAATACCAATGAAATGTTAATTGTAAGACTGTTGTTCGATTAGCATTCACCCACAATTGATATTTTTTTTCAGTCGTAAACAATTCTTTTATCCTCTTCAATATATTTTGTTGTGTTATTAAAATTACAAAAAAAGTGTCGAAAATTGTAACATTATATATTTTGGTAAGATTATATTTCTATGTAATCTTTAGCTGTTTTTTTATGAAACTAGACTAAATACAGAATCAGAAATACCAGTAGGCGAACATCATTAATAATAATTGATAATCAGTTTTTGTTAAGCAGGTGATTCATATCCGTTAACAAAATCTCCTATCAAAAAGATAAATATTTATACACCTGACATCTGACAATAATGTATATTAGAAGTGTCAAAATATATTTTTTTAGTAAACTGATGACGTCTTACATTCAAAGATGACATATTTTCCATTAACTATAAATTAAATGGAAAGTTTTTGTTTTAGTTAATAATTTATTACTATTTATCCTTAAAGAATCTTTAGTTCTAAATAGAATTGTAATTACGTCAATCTCTTTCAGCTTAGTGCATTTTTCTTATGAATCTCATCTTTCAGTTTTGCTTTATCTATCGTGTCAAAATAACCAGTTTTTCCATTTGTTAGTAAGAATAGTAAAATTATTTTTAGTTTCTTATTCCAATGAAATATGTTTCTGTTTAAATTAGTTCATCATGGTTTAGACTATTCAAAAAAATCTTAATAGTGAATTTGAGAGAAAGTATTTTCTATAATAATATATTGACATTTGTTTTTAAAAAGGAAACAACTATAAAATTATATGAATTACTCCTCTATAGAAATAATATATTGAATCTTTTATGTCAAGTATGCCTTAGATAGTATAATTATTTTTGTTAAAAATCGAAAAAAACATTTAGAACGAATCAGTCTTAATTACCTTGCTGTCTTTTCGTCTTGAAACAAAGCTGATACTTGTTAATTTCCTATTTTCTATTAAGTATTGACTATACTGAACAAACCTATCTGTTCGCACTTCTTTATTTAATAAATAACTTCTATTATTCTTATATGAACAAGGTGCTTTAAGAGCTAAACATAATTCCTTCAAAATTACTCTTCTGCTACGGTTTTAGTTCGCAAAAAACATCAATGGTTTTCTTCTGATACTCCTTGTCTCCGTTGTTTAGTTTTTGTTTTTAAGATATCTGGGAAAAATCTGAGTGGTAAGAAAAAAAAATTAAAGATTTTATAAAATATTAAAAAATAGGTGTGACCTATATTTAGATTGTTAGAATATAAGTATTTGAGAGGAAAAGTATAGTATGACACTTTTTTTATGTTGAGTGCTTTAATAGAATATTAAATATTAATTCATAAAATAGGCAGAAAAAAAATGATGAATATCTAATAGATTTTGTTATATAGGAATTATGCTAACATTTCCATTTTATTCTTTTCTTTTTTTATAAGCGAAGACGATTAGCTGAACATCTGGTTTCTGCTTGAAATAGAGTATTTATGTCTATGATGATTCTAAAACTTGTAACATTCTTTTGTTTAGCAGTCGCATTATAGAATTTTGCCTTTTTCTTTATGAAAATTCTAGCATAGTTGATGAATTATTCTCACAAACATGCGATTTTCTATAATACAAAGATAATTTTTAGCAGATTGTATTTCATATTCATATTATTCTGGATTGTAAGAAATAATATAAGATTATTTGTTTATAGAATGCCACTCACCATTGTACAACTCGATTTAATTGGCCGATATCTTAATATATATTTCGGTTCATTCATGCTTATTGCTGGTCTATTAGGATCATGTATTAATTTATGGTTATTCACACGTCATCGTTTTCGAAAAAGTCCATGCTCAAGATTTGTTATTGCATCTAGTTTATTCGATATTCTTCATTTAATCGTAGCTCTATTTCTTCGTGTTTTGGCTGACGGTTTTGGTAAAGATCCAGCATCATCAAGTGTTATTGGATGTCGAATTCGTTATTATCTGTAAGTAATTATTATTAAATAAGTTCTAGTTAGAAATATCTATACACGCTGTTTATTTACTATACAGAATCTTTATTGATAAACAATATCAAATATTAGTACTAATAGATATCGTGTTAAACGGAATGAAGTCGTTGGTGTTCTTTTGACCTGAATAAAGACTGAATATGAATTAATTACTAATAGAAATTATTTTACAAAAGAGAGAACCATCTAAACTGATAAAAAATGTCCTTATCATAATACGGATATAATGAATTATATATAGAAACTTTTATTCATAATATTTTCTAAAAAAAGTATTAATCCGAACGTACCTTTTGTATATAGTTGTTCGAAAACGTACTCTATGAGGAATATTTAATACTAATATTAATCATAGTTTATGAAAGATTTTTATCGAATCTATGTTTGTTTATTCAATAGAATTACATTTTCGGCTTATGCATCTCTTGGTTGTCGATGTTTGGCTAGTTTTGATCGATATGCATGTACTTCTCGTTCTATATCATTTCGAGAATGGAGTTCATTTAAAATAGCATATAATTTCTTAATTATAAACACTTTTATATGGATCTGTTTTGCTCTACCAAATTTTCTATACTTTAATCTCGTACCAATTGGTCCTGCACGCGTTATATGCCATATTGCAGAAAAAGCATATTCCAATTATTTTGCATATTTTGTTAATCCTGTTTTATATTTTTCTCTACCATTGATTATAATTATTACATTAGCGATAAAAACTCATAAAAATCTACGCTTAATGAACAAAACAAAACGAATAAAACGTCTTGAACGACGAATGGCTTCAGTAAGATTTTTTTTTATTAAAATTATTTATTCTATATTATTTATTTAGATGATTATTTTACAAGCTATAACAAATTCAATCTCTTCAATTCCATATGGTATTCAATTCTTTTATTCTGTTATTACATTTACATCAGAAAAAGATGAATATCGTCGAGCTCAAGAAAACTTATTTTTACAAATTACTCGTCTATCATATTATATAAACTTTATATCTGCTTTTTATATATATTATGTTTCATCAAAACAAATTCGATCAACAATTAGACGAACTATTCTAAGACAAAAAAAATTAAGTACTCCAAGTACATCTTCGAGTAGCAGTTCGAAAAATCAATTCAGTGACAAATATGCATCGAGGAAAAGTTTTAAATAAATCTTTAATGTACATTTAAATGTAATATAATAAATTATTTGTTTAAATATTTTAATAACATTTGATATAGGTTATGCTTTGTCAGTAAATCTTTCTTTTAAATTGAGAAATGAGTATGGACTCAAGAGTTCAATCAGTTTAAATCATATTTTGTGTATTGAAGAGGATGAATATAGTCTTTTGACATATAATAATTAAAAATTTTCATCGCATGATATGACAAAAATAGACATGTCAAGTAAGGGAAATGATTTGTAATTTATTTTTCTAAATCAATGTAGTAATTAAGGCGAATTTCATGTTTAACTTGTTCATCATTTATATAAGCATTTCTATCGATATCACCTAATTTTGCTCCCATGGCAGCATAAAATCGGCAAGCCGATACGTTTGTATTTTGTGTTTCAATACTCATATGTTTGGTTTTACCTTGTTGTTTAGCCCATTGAACAGCATATTCAAATAATGCTTTTCCCACTCCTAAACGTCGATAGGAAGGATCAACACGAAAATCACATAGTGCACATTCAGGCATTTCTACAATAGCACCACCTATAACTTTATCATTTTGAGTTGCATCGAATGCAAGAAAAATTCCCCAATTAGTTGTATCCATATTAGACCATAAATGAGATGAATCGGAATTAAGTAATTGATCGTAATCTTTTATGTATGATGTAAGTAGTGGTCGTTCAATAAGTTTAATTTGTTCATTATTATCATCGATAACATCGTAGATTGAATGAACTTCAAATGATATGGGTGTATTACTAAATTCAGATAAACGTGAACTATCAACTTGAACTATATGAAATGTCATGGAACAAAAAATAACTAAGACAATTTCATTTATAAATACCAAATGCCAGAAGAGAATATCGTGATAGAATAAATTTAATATTTAGTTGGTTTTTAGTGTTGTCCAATCAAACAAAAGTAACTAAATATTTTTTCGATCACTTACAACCATGATAAAACTTCATAAGACCGCGATTTATTTTTCTAAATGTATTCTCAAAAAATTATATCATACCAATCGTTCATAGTTTATAAACGATAAATATTTTATTGTAAAAGAAGTTTTTTATAACACAGAACTTATCAATAAGCAATATCAGTTTTTCACTAAACATCATCGTTATCGAAATAATAACGAATTATAATAACAAGAAAAGAAAAACAAAACTATCTGAACAATTTATACGAGCAACAAATGAATACTTCAGAAAATATATCACATCTAGTAACTGACTAGAATCATTCTAATGGCAAAATATTTGTTAATAAGAAAAACTATATCAATTGATTGAGTTTAAATGCAAGTGTTTGTGCTTTCATACGCATATCAGAATCGGCTGTCCAACATGAATCAATTAATGAACACAATTCATGAATAATCTATACAAAAAAAGATCATCGTATGTCAAATATTTTTTTACAATAGAAATTACAAACCATAGCATATTGTTTATCTTTTACTTGTCGAATAAGTGTTGGTCGTAATCGACGAACAATCACGATATCATAAATCTGAGCAGCAAAAGAAGGTCCACCAGGATTATTTGTAATATATTCTTCATAGGGTGCTTGATATACTTCAAGTAAATTAAAATAGATATACATTATATTAATTTTTATGATTACCTGTTATTGGATAAACATCACATTGTCTTATTATTTCCCACATAACTAAGCCTAAGGCATACATGTCTACACTGTATAAAGCATCATGAGTATATGCAATGACACCTTCAAGTAATTCTGGTGCCATATAACGCATCGTACCAATTTGTACAAAATCTTTTTCAGTTAATACTTGAGGTAGAGCAATGGCAATACCAAAATCAGCTAGGCATAAATTTAATTCATTTTTACAAATAAGTATATTTGTTGATTTAATATCACGATGGACAATTGTCATATGATTTTTATTTTGTCCTACATGTAAATAAGATAATGCTGATGCAAGTGAACGAAGAAATATTAAACATTGATTTATAGTTAATGTTCGATTAGGTTCACGTAAATATGATTGAAGTGTACCATTTTCATAATAGGGTAATATAAGATATAAATGTGAATTATATTGACCATCAGATAGAATTCTAGAAAGAAAGAGTATATATTGATAAGATAACATTTTTTCTTTCTTAGCGCAGAGAGAGAGAGAGAATATGATAAGGATATGATGTAACTCAGTAGAAACCCTGACATATATTCTTGACGGTCGATTTTGATTCATCCAAAATGACAGTAAGACACTTGTTTTTTTTCTATGAATGTATTAATCAATAGGATACACTATTTTCTTATAATAATCGATTATCGAACATACTACAAATTTTAGGTAAGATAGAATTTTACATACTTAATAATTGATTCATGTTTAATAGATTTAAGTAATGTAACTTCATTTTTCCATATTAATAGATCTGTTTGTTGATAAACTTTAAGAGCAACAATATCATCATTAAATACACCTTTATAAACAATACTATTTTTTCCCGAAATTATTTTTTGTGCAGAAAAAAATAATTGTTCTATTGAAGTTGTTGTTGTTAATGATGATGATGATGATTTTCTAAATGATGTATTAGCTTTATTCTCATGTCTATTTCTTAATGATTTCCATAAACTAAATATAAACGTGATTAGAATAATAAACAACGTACAACTAAATATGATTAAAAATAATTTCCATGAAAAATATTCTTCGTCTATAATAACAACATTCGTTTTTGTTGTATGATCGATTAAAATCGAACGATATGTTGTTGTTGGCGTTGTTAATAATATTGTCCAATTAAGTGTACAATTATTTGTTGAACAACAACATGAAAATGCTTGAGAATTAACTGCATCCATCTCTAATATACATTGTTTGGATTTTAAACATTGTTCATCACTTTGTATCGTACTTAATTGTTTAATAAATATATTTCCTGAATAATTATAATAAACTCCAAGACATGCATCTTGATTTTCTAATACATTTGAAAATGTACAATTTGATTGACAAGTTTTTATTAAATAATTTTCCGCGGAATTTATTTTCTGTGGTAAATAAATTGGACAGACAAGCGCATAGTTTATATTAATGAGATTAATAAAAAAAAGCAAAACTTTATTTTTAAATTAATAAGAAAAATTTTTATTCGAAATAAATAAAACTTACTGAATATCATATTGAGAAGTTGATCTTTCTTCTCCTTTTTTTTCCCTATATATATTTTAATTTAAATGTACGGCAAAAGTTTCGATATGTTAGATGTCGCTAGATAAAATCAAATAAAAATGAATCATTGAATTTTACGATAAGATTAGAAAATAATTTCTTTTTTTTTCATGTTCTGTATTTAAAAAGAATTTTTTTTGTTTCGAAAAGAAAAAGAAATCTTGGTAAAATACTGATAGGCTTACTTGTTTATTTATCAATCTTTTCTTTGTGTTTTTTGTTCTATAAATTGGTTGTCTTATTTTATCGACTTGTTTATCTTAATGCGTGCATCATTAAGCAAGTCCGATAATGCATTGAGCAGTCTTACTAGTGTTATCAATAGTCGATTTAAACGTCATCATAGTATTGATGATGATTATCCTGTGATATCATCATCGTCATCATCAAATGATGAAAAAAAAATTCATGTAGATACTCATTCGGATCATCGTGTACCATTAATAAATGATGATGATAATAATAATACTGCTGCAACAACAACAACTACTACTACTAATCAACAGATGATATTTCAAAAATCGTTATTTTCATCCGAGCTTATGGTAAGATAATTTGAAAGAAGTCAAGAAGAAATATTTTATGATTTATTATTTTAGAAAGTTGTCGAATGGTTTAATCAACTTAATGATCGACAAAAGGAAACATTACTTCGAGAAATACTTGTAAGTATATGAAAAATATTGAAATATTCGTCTAAAAGAGAGATTATTGGATTTTGTATTTAGTGTGATGATAGAAATGAATTATTTTCTAAAGATATGCTACTTTCTAATATAACAAAATTTGTATCGTTCACTGCTGCTTTATTAAATAGTTGATATGATTTTTGAACTTTGATACCTTATTATTAATAGTATATCGCTATGTATATTAGATAAACAATTTCATATACCCTTATGTTTAAAGGTTATTTTATTTTAGAATTCATGTTCCAGTCCTCAATGGCATATATTATCATTGTTAACAACTGATAATTGGCATCGAGATTGCCCGTCGGATTGTTCAGATCCATTGGCACAATTACCATTTGATATATCGTTCTATATTCTATCTTTACTCGATCCAGGTTTGATTTCTTTGTTTTTTTAATAAAATTCGAAAACTAACATTTCTTTTTTCTAGTATCATTAGCTCGATGTTCACGTGTAAATAAATTATGGTATTATTTATGTTCACATCCAGAATTATGGCATCAATTAGCTAAACATAAAAAATGGTCATTTTCATCACATTTACTTGATCAACAACAAATAGAATTTCATACAAATGAACAGAGACAAGCACAAGTATTAACTAAATTTCATAAAAAAATAGAAAAAAAACAATTTTCGTTTTAGTGGAAACAAATTTTCATCGAACGTTATCGTCTTCGTTCTCGTTGGTTAAATGGAAGATGTGATGTTAAAACATTCCATGGTCATGTTGAAGGTAAAACTAAATCTAATCAATATTACATAAAATATATGTATATCTTTAGGCGTTTCTTGTGTTCAATTTGATAGTCAAACAATTATAAGTGGTTGTACAGATGGTACAATTAAAGTGTAAAATTTTCTTTTGATTAATATTGAAAAGAAAATGATTCATTTTATTTATTTTAAGATGGGATATGAATACTACAAATGAGATTATAACTCTTGTTGGTCATTCACGCAGTGTCAGATGTTTACATGTTGATGGTATCAATGAAGTACGATTAGTTAGTGGATCGAATGATCGTAGTATCAAAGTAAGAAAGAAATTTTTTTTACTAATAAGATAATAATTTCATGTGCGCTTTAATTAAGGTTTGGAGTATATCAATTAATCAAACGTGGTCAAAATGTGCATGTAAATTAACTTTATTAGGTCATACAGATACTGTTCGATGTCTCGTCGTTCGAGATGATATATGTGTAAGTGGTAGTCATGATCATTCTGTTAAAGTATGGAATTTAACGAATGGATCATGTCTTCAAACATTAGTGTATGTATTATTTATTTGTTTTTTTGTTTAAAATTTTTTATTTTATTTATAGTGATCATACAGATAAAGTACTTTGTGTTCAATTTAATTGGCAGTATATTGTCTCAGGATCAACAGATAAAACAATAAAAGTATTAATTAAAGAATAATCTTTATTTTTCAAAATATTATGAATATATATATATATTTAGATTTGGCATTATTCAGATGGTTCTTGTTTACGTACGTTATCGGCTCATAATGGTTCAGTAACATGTCTTTATTTTGATCAAGAACAAGATTTAATCGTGTCAGGTAGTCTTGATTATGATATACGTTTTTGGCAGTTATCAACAGGTGATTGTTGTCAAAAAATTGATTGGATATCAAAAGAAGGACATCGTGGTGTTATTCGAGCATTAAAAGCAGATAGTTGGCGTGTTGTTAGCGGAGCTGATGATAAGACAATTAAGGTAAGAATGAAAATCTAATTTTATCATAGGTAGCATGTTGTACTGATTAATCTGTGCGTCATAGACTGAAGTAAATATTAGAGTTTTCCAGGTCAATTTTTCTTTTCAATGACATTTTCAAATAATGTCAATAACGTCTGTTAAGAGATTTTGTTAGTTATTTTTAATAACAGAAATCATCAGGTGAACTATGCATTGAGATAGAGGAATAAAAGAGAAGTGCACCTTAGACTCTCTTTTAAGAACAAGATAAAAACCAAGTCATTATGAGAACTAGATGAAATATTTTGTGTTTTTATGACTTCTATTTTAAATGAATGCATTAGATTATAAAATATGCATGACTCTAGAGATATATTTCGAAAATTACTACATAGAAATAATATATTTTTTTTTGTTACTTAGGTATGGGATATACGAACTGGTGTTCGATTATGTACATTAAAAAATCATACCGATGGTGTCACTTGTCTTTCGTTTAATGATTATATGATCGTGTCGGGTTCATTTGATGGCAGTGTTAAATTATGGAATTTTCGGCCATAAACAAAATTTATTTGTTTTTATTTTAAAATTAATTTGTATGTATTTGAATGCGCAATTGAGATTAGTATTTTCTATTTTATGTCAATTTTTGTGTTGTTGTTGTTGTTGTTTTTTTCATTCAGGGAATTAAGAAAAGGAAAATTTCAAAAGTTTGACGTTTCCTCTTGTTTTTAGATTATAAATTTTCTTTCATTTATTATTATTTTTAAAAACAAACATAGAAGAATATGCGTGAATATAAAATTGTTGTACTTGGTAGTGGTGGTGTCGGTAAATCAGCATTAACAGTACAATTTGTTCAAGGATTATTTGTTGAAAAATATGATCCGACGGTTAGTTGTATAGAATCGAGGAAAATATATTCATTGTACTTTTTTAAATAGATCGAAGATAGTTATCGAAAACAAGTTGAAGTTGATGGACAACAATGTATGCTGTAAGTCATTAAAAATTTATAAGATATTTTTACTTGATTTCTTTTTTTTTTCTTTTTAGAGAAATTCTCGATACTGCTGGCACAGTAAGTAATCAAAAAGAAACGATGTGATCGATACATATGATTATCTAAGTGTTGAATTATTCTACTAGACATAAAATATTTTATCAATTCATTATCTTATCAAATAGCTTTTAATCTCGTAATTTATTTGTATTGCCAACTAATGATATAAGATGTGAGACAACAACATAAGCATACTGTGAATAAATTTAGTTCTTACATCATTAGTGTATTCAGGAATGAATAGATTATTAGAAAGTTAATATGACTATGTTAGTCGTAGAAAAGGTAGGAGGAATTCGCACTGATATAACAACAATCAGTAAGATAAAAAAATGTTATCAAGTACTTAATAATGCATTCAAAGTTATTTTTAGTCGTACATCTTTTATGCTTCCTTCCTGTTCTATTATTTTACTTAATAAACTATAGTTTTTCACTCTCTATGAAGTACTGTTCAAAATGAATAGCTTTGCATTTAGTATCACTCATGAATATGAAGTTCTTAATATAATTTTCTACTGTTAATCATATTTTATTTAGGAACAATTCACTGCAATGAGAGATTTATATATGAAAAATGGTCAAGGTTTTGTTCTTGTCTATTCAATAACTGCTCAATCAACATATAATGATCTTGTTGATTTACGTGACACTATTCTCAAAGTGAAAGACACAACTGATGTATGATAATTTTATTTTTCATAATATATTTCTTATCTTTTATAATTTTATCTAGGTACCTATGGTTTTAGTAGGAAATAAATGTGATCTTGAAGATGAACGTGTTGTTGGAAAAGAAGTTGGTCAAACCTTAGCACGTAATTGGGGATCAACATTTCTTGAAACATCAGCTAAACAAAAGATCAATGTTAATGAGGTTAGTATTTTAATAGTTTCTTTTTTTTTGCATGACGTTATTTCGAATCCTTCTTATTTCCTATCAAAACGACATAAAAAATATTTAGATTTTTTTTGATCTTGTACGTCAAATAAATAAACGAACACCAGTTAATAAAGATAAGAAAAATAAAGGTAAAAATTCTGGACAAATGGGTAATACAAATACATCATCAAGTGGTAAAAATGGTTTTGATAATTTACAAACAAATCAAGCATCTAATAATTCACGAGATAAACAAGATTGTTGTATTCTTTTATAGATAAACTTGTTTATTTTTTCTTATGGCAATCATACGTATTCATCACAATTCTTGTTTTTTTTTCTTCTTTCTCCCCTTTCTTTATCCTTCTCTCTCGGGCTTATTTTCTTTTATACACAAACATACATATCTATTCAGCATACAGATACGTGGTATTAATTTTGTTGTTTTCTTTTTGTATCTAGTCAGAGAATATTTTCTTTAGATCTTTTTCGATTTGGTTCGTCGAATAAAACGAACTGATATAATACCAAAAGAAATCTCTCGTTCGAATAAGTATTTGAATGATTTAAATGCTGCTCAGTTTGATAATGATATATCGCTTACAAAACATCATGTAATAAAAAAAAAGAAAAAACATCATAAATGTCAAATTATGTAAAAAAAAACATAATAATAGCAGAATAAAATAATCAAGCAGTATTAATTATCTGCCGCTCTGTAAACTTGTGAATGATTTTCTGTTTTGTTTATTCTTTGTTTGACTATCATCGCTGCAATGCATATAATCTATCTAATCGTTATGTTCTTTTTGTTTGTCTTCTTTTTTCTTTTTTTCTCTGTTCTTTATGTATGTAGATAAACGAAAAGGAAAACAAAAAATAATTTCATGATTTATTGTATACGGTTTCTCTTCTTTTTTTTCATATAAAAACTTTCCCTGTGTGTGTTTAAATAAAATTCAATTTTAAGTATCTGTTGTTGTATCACCAGATATTAAACCAATTAAAGCATCAGCATGAAGTAATTTCGAATAAGGTGATGGATGACATTGATCAGAAAACATTATTTGAACAGTTTGTTGAGAATTTGGATTTGAAAAACATTGATCAGTTTTATCTAATGGGGAAATATACATAAATGTTTCATGTTTATTACAAGGTATTGTATGTGATATATTGCCATTGATACTTATTGAAAATATTCGTGTAAAAGAATTTTCATGTTCAAGTGTATGATGAAGATGAGCTTTAGTAGATTTTAAATTCCAACAGAATGTAACTGGTGTATGTTGTTTATTGAAAAAATTTTGAATTGCTGTTTTATGTAAACGAAAATAAATAAATTCACGTACAGTACCATTGTATATAAGTGCAAAACCAAAATATTTTGGAAAATAAAGACGAGAGTTCCTGAAAAAGAAGCAAATCGCTAAGTTAAATCATAATTTGATTATCCTATTCACAATGGTTTTGTATTGTACAAAACGATTGATTAGAATTTATATATGTCGATATATATATAAATAGACATGATTCTTTTTTCTTCAAATATAGTGCACTTTCGCTAACATACTTATAGGAAATTTGCCAGTGTCATTATGTGATTACATATGTATAAAAATAGCTCCTGGTAACTGTATTGAGGGGTTTAGATTATAATATGCTTATTCTGATAACACTAGATTAATTTATCACATGTGTTTTACACTAATCTTATGTTATTCCAGTTGGCAAAAATTCACTGGATTTATGCCAAGTCGCGCATGGACTTTCGCCTATTGGTGAAAAGACAGTAAGCCATCTTTTTTACTTCTCTTTGAGATTTAGTTATAAATAAACTTTCAAGATTTTCCTATTAATTGAAGAATCCTAATGCATTTCCTATAAGAAATATTTTTAGTTCTCCCGTAATAGCTTGCATATGGATATACTAGTTTATTATATCTACGAATGTGTCTTAGCGATACTATCAATTGGTAACTTCGATGCAGAAGTCTTAAAGAATCCCTAACAAATTTCTATGAGTGTAACTCACCTTTCTATTTATACGAACTTATCCTGTTATCTTATCATCCTTCCTCCGCTTTAGTTTTCTCAAATACCTTTTAGAATCAATTTCTGGATAGTATTTCGTATAAACTGACTCAGTCAAAAAAAATCATGCAATAGTTTTTACGTATATCAGGTTTGTTTGATCGAAAAATAGCGTTGTATACTCTACTATATAAGTATTTGACTTTACCATTGCGACATAAGGATACTATTCCAAATATTTTCTGATGATATTGTATACCATGGACTAGGTGCGACTTGATTTGGTGCATTATTAAAATCTAAACCATTAAAATTAATTTTTGATTGTCCACTAATTTTAACAACAAATAACCATCGTTTTTCTGAATTAAATATATTCATATTTCCACATAATGTTGAAGGTGTTAATCGTTTTAATCTTTGATTTTGTTCGGGTTTTTCAAATAAACGATATTTTAAACGTTTTATATTTATATAAAAATTTACGTCAGTGTCTGTATGCCAAATACGTGTATCACACGGATCATTTGCATATAATGAACAAGTTGAATCAGATAGACGATAAGTCATTGCTAAACATTGTTTATTACTTGAACATAAACATTTACATTCAAGTTCATTTATTGTTTTAACTATTAAAAATCCAGCTGTATTTGATACATATGCTGTTTCAGTTAAAACTAAATAATGACCTAATAAAGTACCTTCTGAACGACTTGTAATTGTTCGTTTTTTCTCTCCAACAGTCATTTGACATTTTTCAATAAAAGTATTCAGAAAAATAATAATATGAATAACAAATAGAAAGTTAAACATTTTATTGTAAAAGAAAACGAAAAACTACGAATCTGAATTTATTAAATATAAAATAGAACAAATTGTCAGACAATTTGCTCTAGAATCAAACCATTCTTTTGTTTTATTTTTATTTAGAAAAAAAAAGAAAAGAAAAGAAAAAGAAAAAACAAGAATAAAAATATACAAATATTAAATTCAATTTTGAAAACGATCACCAACATCAACAATACGAAAAGCTTCAAGAAATTCATTAAAATCAATAACACCATTCTTATTAAGATCAATACTAGCGGCTAAATCCATAATTTGCTTCTCATCTAATTTTGATCCATTATGTTTACCAAGAAATGAACAGACTTCAGTAAATTCTTGCATTGAAATAACACCTGAATATATACATAAAAGTTTTATTTAATAATGAACAAAAAAAAATAACTTACCTGAGTTATCTTTATCAATAGCTCGAAAGACTGTTTCAAGTAGATCTTTATTTCGATAAATAGCTTGACAAAGACTTTCACGTCTCTATTACGAAAATAAACAATTCAATTTATTTTTTTGTTATTTAGAATTCTTACTGCATTTGTGGAAATATTCGATGTAAAACGTAATTCTTTCGAACGAAATGTTGATTCATATATAACCATTCCACTGATATCAGTATCAACAAGACGTGCTCTAAGTGTTCGCCATGGTAGTTGTAAATCAAGAACATGTGAAACAATATCACACCAAGCATTGACAGATATACGACCTTAATTATAACAATATAATTCAAAACAGCATATAGATTAATCTTTTCTTCAATGTAAATAAAATCAAGAGTTTTAATTTAACTCGTAGAACTGTTAATTCGATACAGATCAAGATTTCTATTGAATTATATATTATATCTCATTTATTGATCAAGTCAATTCCGATCTATTTACCTTAAATATATCTTCTGAATGGAAGTTTAATAAGTTCATAGAGTTACTTTATGATAGATAAGCATTCCTTTAGTTAGATATTTAATTATATAGACTTTTGCCGAAGGGGTTTAAATAACAGAGAACTTTTTTTTTCAAACTGATTCTCTTTCATCATATTCGGTAAGTAAGTCAAATATCGACGAAAATTAAACAGAGACTTGAGTACATTACAGATTTTCATATTTATTACATTCTATATTAATTCTTTGAATGTACTACATTTTTCGTTGTGTGAATAAAACTGTCGTCACTACTGGTGTTCATTAATGCCTTAACGAATAAATTTTGAGTACATAAAGGTGAGGATTTATAGGACAAAATGTGATATATATTACATCATCCATCAAAGGATTTCCCATGCGTTGTCTATTTCTAGAAAATCTTTTTAAGACTTCATTACGAACCATAAAAAAGAACATTACAAAAAGGTTATTCGAGAAGAAAATCTAATTTCATGTTTTTTTTCATAATTGAACTAATCTACATCATTCTATTTATTTTACCTGTATTTCCCGGATCTACAAGGGCAAATTCTTTCATTAATCGACTTTTATTGACACTAAATTTTTCTGCTAAATTTTGAATTGCTTGGTCTTCAACATAAGATACTCTAGAAATTCAAAATAAATATCATATATATAAAACCTAATGTTTTTTTCTAATTAACCTTTCCCATAAAGTTAATGTTTTATGTGTAGCTCTAGTTGCCATGAATTGAATAATTATTGGTGGTTGATTAGTTATTATTTTTACATAGGCACCTCGATTACTACCCACTGCGTAATAATTTGATGCCGAAAAAATAGTTAGCACCTAGAAAAGAGAGTATCATGAAAGGCATCAAACAAAAACAATATAATTAAAAAACCTTTTTATCATGACTATAACCAAAGCCTTCTTCTTTACATTCATGTGAACGAATAAGTAAAGTCCAATTATGTTTTTGTAAGATTTTTTCTGTTACATCAGGACCCCAATAACATCCTCCACCACGATAAGTATTCGGTTCACACCCATCTGCCTGTTTTGGATCACTCCATAATAAATCAAGTATTTGTCTCCATTCAAGTAATACCTCATCTGAAATACTACTAATTTGAAATTGATCTTCATTTGCTGGTATAATAAAATTTGGACTTAATACAGATATATACTACGAAAAAATGAAACATATTTTTCTTATTAAATATACTGAATCACAAGCGAACCTTTTGACGTTTGATTTCATTGATTTTATTTAAATCAGTTATATCACTTATTCCACCATGTGCAACAAATATATGATCATCAATAAGACTTGCAATTGGTAACCAACTATAAATATTTTCGAATAAACGTAAAAGTCTTGTTGCATGTGATTTGTATTTATATATAATTTCTTTCATGAAACCATATCTATACAGAAAAAGATAATAATCAAATACTATTTCTGTATCTATTCATCTTTAGATTCCTAGTCAGTTTTAGTGTTTCATTCTATAATGATTAGAAAAAAAGGTTTCTTTTGTTCTTGAAATTGGGTACCTCATATTATACATTAATTAAAAGTTAAATTCAATACACATTAAATTTCCGGTTTTGTCTCTTTTGAATAGGCGTAACTAATTTTAGACCAAACAGGAAAAAAAAGTTAAGTTAAACGGAAAGTTTTTCCTACAAAAAACAACATAGGTCATACGTGACAGAGAATTTAGTCGTATTTTTATTTGTCAAAAGCTTTGCGGATTATTTTTCTCAGACTTTACTACATGTCTTACATCAATGTTTAATATCAACGTCAAACACATGGCATGAAGACAAAAATATAATTATCAACAAAACTGACTACTCCTGTTTATGACGCAGTTAAATCAGTGCTTTATAGAAATTTATTCTTTCTAGAAGGTACATTCACTCTCTAGAAGAATATATCATTGAGATTTTGAATAAATTAATCTATAGTTTACCTTAAATTTAAAACATGATCTTCATGATTTCCTCGATTCAAATAAACATTATTTGGGTAAACAATAACTGCGACACTAATTAAAAGGAAAACTTCCATACTTTGAAAACCTCGATCAACAATATCACCATTGAATATATAAGGATTTTCATTCGATGGTAAACCGTTCTATACAATAAAAAAATGAATGATTTCATATTTTTGAAAATAAATTATGAATTAATATATACTTTATGAAAAATGACCATTAAATCAGCTAAACTACCATGTAAATCTCCAACAACAGTAACATATCTTGACTGATGAGTTGAAACTATATTTACATTTGGTAAACGTTTAAGAATATGTCGAAGTTCATGTAATATTAATAACACATAATGAGCATGAAGTAACTGTAAATATAAAAAACACAAAAATAAGATAGAGAAAATAAATTGTAAGATTATTTTTCCCTTGATTTATTAAATGTAATCTACATCATACTAATCTCAAGAATTGTCTTAATCATAATGACTGAACATTAATATAATTAAAAATGAAAAACAATGTCATATAAAATTGTTTTCTTTTTACGCTTTAAAAGGATTTTTTTTTTATTCTAACGCAATTATGACAAAACAAACAAACATTAATAATTTTAGTATCATACCTCTCCTCGTTGAAAAGCAAGAATTAATGCTTCAAAATGTCCCTTATGTATCGGCGTGTGGATATGTGGTCCTCGATATGATGATTCAACAGTAATAGCTTCGGGTGTTGTTAAATGTTTTAAATCAAGTTCTTCGGCTAGAATTATATTAATATGTACTTATTTAAAAATAAATAAAAGCAAAAGTTATTACCCAAGCCTGTTAGACTAGAATTTCGACGTAAGACTTTCGCTACAACTTGAGCATCATGAGGATTTGTTGTAACAGCTTGCATAAGTTCAAGAAAAAAATTGTAAAGCTATTTTTTTATAATTACAGATAAAATATAGATTATGTTAAATTTTTTTTCAATTAATAAAATACTTTAAGCTGATCTTGTTCACCAGCATATTCAATATTTTGATATATTGTCCAAGCAGTTTTTCGTCTCATTTCATATAAAGCTCGTCGACGTCTAAACCACGTTTGAATAATAACAACAGCTGCTAATGCTATATTGAATTAAAGAATAAATTTTCTAAGAAAATATATTCTTTCAAAATAGGACACATACTAATATCAGATTTTTTTCTTTTTGGTCGAACTGGTCGTGGTGGTAGTGGCGGTGAACAGTGTTGTGTTTGCGGTAGAGGTTGTGCTGGTTCAGGTTCGGATGGAGGATGTTGTATTGGGGCGACAACACTTCGTCGAGGATATTTTAATATTTGTGGACAGCAAAAACATTTCCAACCTTCGGATAACATACTTCTTTTTGCCTTTATCTTCTTAATCGATCATATTTGATTAAATCCTGCAATATGTCAACTAACATTTCTCTTCTTTTCACGATATAGTTAACATAGAATATAAAAGCGCATATACACATTGCATGTTTTCTTGTTCTTTTCTTTCTCTCATCTTTATTATCTAAATCTACTACTAGTAATCTTATTTTTTTGCTGCTTTTTCCTGTCTTTTCTTCACTTCAGACTTCGTCTTTCAACATTATGCTACACTTACCTTCTTTTTCTCTTTTTTTTTCTTCTTCTCTCCTAGTCGTTTATCAATTTTCTTACGGCTTCTCCTACATCGTCATAAAATTGATAATATTTGCACGACTGAACATCATATACATGCTTACATCGACTAATATTTCTCAGTAAAACACATTATTTTTTTTTCAGACTATCATTTTTCTTTCTTTTTTTTATTACTGACATAATTATGAATTGTTGGCCAGGTGTTGTTTTCTTTGACAATAGCTTTCTAATTTCATTTGCAACAAAAAAAGAAGAAGAAAGAAGTAGACACTAATTAGCTTTAATTAATGAACAAAATTGTTTTTTTACGTTCATAAGTTTATACAAAAATACAGATATAAATGTTCACAAGATTCTTATCTTTTTTTAGCATACAAAAAAAAATATAGAGAATTTAAAATAAACAAGAATGAATATATATACATATATATTCATTTATATATCTGACAAAAAATCTAAATATTTAATTATGCAAAACCATGCCAAGTAATGTTTGATCTTGAAGTGCATCAATTAAAACATTCTCTTCAACTTTACCATGAATCTAAAAATATGTATTCTAGGAAACGTAAAATTTAATATTAATAAATTACTTGATCATCTTGTTTAATTTTATTTTTTGATGGAATTATTTTAATAAGTCCATGAGCTTCTAAAGCATCAATTAAACCTTCAAATTCAAGTCCATCTGTTGATGGAAGTTTATGTCTTTCACATAGATCATGAAATACCATTAATAACTAAAGAGAAAAATAATCATATATTATTTTTAAAAAAAAGAACAAGTTTTTTTCTTAGATTAGTTTTTAAAATAACCTTCGATTTTCATACAAAATTTATGAGATTCATTCGATAAAAATATTTCAAATTAATTATTAACAGTATGATCATATTACATCTAGATTAGTGTAAGAATAGGCATGATTTTACTATATAATTTAACAAAAGTCTACATGAAATATTTTTAGAACATCGAAGATTATTTCTCTATGAAATTTGATCAATAAATTCCTTTGAACTTACTTTAGCTCTAGTACAAACACGTTTTTTACTTGCTCTCATACAAACAATAACTGAGCAAAGAAGTAATTTTTCAAATGTAGGTAAACTTTTTGTTTGTATATGATCAGATGAATTTGTATTTTGACTATTATTAGTAAATACTTCCATCATTTGTGTAACACCAACATTGATTTTTGTTGCTGAATCAACAGTCAACTCCATTGATTGACTAAAATAATATTCAATTAGTTTTTTTTTCTATTAATAAAAATATTCTTACCGACAAACATCAAAAACAGTACGTAAATCTCCTGTTGTTGATGCTATTTTACTTGCACATAACATTAAAGCATTTCGATCAAATAATTCAATTGAACCAAGACTAAATAAAATTTCGAAAAAATATAAATTTTATTTAATTATTTATTTTGTTGTACCGTTCATTAACAATTGATAACATTTGTTCACGATTATAAGGTGAAAAACGTAATAAATATGGTTTATGTTCAGGCTTGAGTTGTAATCGTGGTAAGAGTCGATCAGTAAGATCAAGCGAATTTGCAATTCCTTTTTTTTTACAACACAAAAGAAAATACAAAGAAAATTAATTCGATTTTTTTCTTATTTACCAATCATAAGTAAATTTGAAGTTTGATGTGGCCATTCAAGTAATTTATAAACATTTTCCATATCACTCGATGAAAGTAATTCATCAACTTCATCAAGAATAAGTAAAATGGGTAACGAATATTTATTAACATATGACATTGAAAGTGACCACATATTTTTTAGTGTTATTTTTGTTTTACAATTTAATTGTTCAAGTATATGTTCAAGAACATCACGAACTAAATCCATTGACATACAATTAAGAAAAATAACTTTAAAATAATTCTTTTCCTATTTCAAATAAAAAATAAATCATTTGTAAAAGATAAATATGTATATTTACTGCAAAAGTATTTGTTATACTGGTAACAACAGCTGTTTTACCTACAAGAAGAATAAATAAATATGAGATACATTGAGTAGGTGAAGATTGATGTATTTTACTAACCAGTACCAGGTGCTCCATAAATATATAAACAGGGATTATTAATAGCTTCATTTTCATCATTTGAATTTGATAATTTTTGAGAACAAAATTGTTGAATTAGACGACGTTCTTCTTCACGACCACATATCTGACGAGAACCATGAGAATGAAGTGCAACTTTAGCTGCTGATAATTCTAAAATTATCGATTAAAAATATATTAAATTGAATAATATCGTTTACTACATACGAGGATTCAGAAGACGTGCTCGTCGAGCTGGAGTTGCACACATACTATCTGTCAAAGAAGAATTACATGACTCTTCTTTATCAATTTCAATATCTGTTGCAATTGGATGAAGAACTTTTCGAGTACGTTTTCGACTTTTTGTTGTTATAGGTATTCCTAAACAAAAAAAATAAGCATATCAATATGTAGAATTGTTTTTTATAAACACCATCTTATGGCAAAGGGTGGGCGTGTGTTAATCAAAGGATGATTCTCTATACTTCACCCGCAGGTCGTATGTCAATCGAGATATAATTAGGAAAAGACCATTTGTTATGACTCATTAGGGAGCAACTATATTTATTACATACCTTCAATTGATCCTGGTTGTTCCACAAGACTATTTCGTAAACCAGCACGTGGCATGATAATTTCAAAAAAAAATAAATAAAACAAATCTATTAATCTGAAGTTAAAGAAAAACATACACGACATAAGTTTAATTTTTTTTTTGTTGTACTATACAGACATGCATGTATATTTCATATACAAAACATCAATATGTAATTTATTTTTCTAATCTATACAAATGTAAAACGAGAAAAAAAGAAGAAGAAAATTATTCATAGATTTGTTGTGCATGACCAATTTCTAAACCAAATTCGTTCATTTTTCGTCTTACAAATGTATCAAATGCGCGTATTTCATTTGTATGATCTTTTTTCTGATTTGAATACGCTCGTACAGCAATATCTAAAAGTCGACTTATATCAGCTGTAAATGTATATGCATTATGATAATATTTTGTTTTTAATCGTTCATGTATTGTATCAAGATCAATAGGAAATAATGGTGGTGAAGATAAATAATCTTGAAAAAGAGTTCGTTTTTGTACATGACTAGCATAAGGATGTGAACGAATTTCTTGATAAACACTTTTTAATGTTATATATAATAAATTAATATCAACTGAATCATCATTGGAATTCATTTCATTATGATCAAAATTAATTAAATCATCATAATTATTTAAATCTGTTGTTTGAATATCATTGGGAAGAAATTTTGCATCAGGATGTGCTTGTTTTATTTGATTATAACGATGTGTACGAATAACATTTATACTTTCTTTTATTAATGATAAAGTTTCTGTTAAACGTGTATATGTTACTTGTGTATAAAGTGAACATTGCATTAGCGTTGCTCCATCATAATCTTTTATATAACCTGTATAAACTTGTTCATTTAATGTTATTGTTGATGAAAAACCTTGTTTTTTAAAATAACCAACCTTAAAAATAAGGTTTTGTTAGTTTAGAACAAAAAAAAAAGAAAATTAAACATACAGCAAAACCATCGGCATATGTTAATAAATTTGTTATATTTAATCGAATATGATAATCTTTTAAATGATTCATTAGATGAGTACCATAACCACGTACTTGTTGATATTCACTTACAGCACAAAAGACAATTTCGGAAAAATTTCTAAAATATATACGTTTTAATTATTGAATATTACTATTATTATTATAGTTTGAAATAGATAATAATAATCTTGTATTTATCAAATATAAATGGAATAAAAAGATTTATCTTCGAATTATCGTATCATATGTCTTCAGACCTACGTCATCTATTTATGATTAGTAAATTATTAAAGAAATTCGATATTTTCTTTTTATAGATATAGAACAAACTGACATAATTTCATTAATTGACACAGATATTAATATTACTCGTGCGTAATAATGAATAATATAATTCCTATGATTGATGTAAACGTAGCTTAGCGGTGTGTCCCTAGGTATCTTGAGCATTCCTCTTCTTTTCACTTACCGATGTGGAAACATTCGAAAACAAATTCCACCAATAACTTTCGAAGCAAAAATAATAATAAGTGATTGATGCCTTGGATCAAGTACCGTTCGTGCTATATAATTTTGTGGCATTTTAGGTAGAGCACGTGAAAAAACATTAATTAATTGTAATAATCTTTTATACATAACATCTGTTTCTTCAGCTCCATGTTTACTTAAATCATGTTTAATAAGATGAAATTCTGCAAAACCTCGTTGTTCAGCAAGACGGGCTACTTCATCACGTTTTGGATTTGCTTTAAATAAAGTTTTTTCAATTTCAGCACGTAAACGTTGTTCATGACGTTCACATACAGATGACCAAACACGATTGATAAATTCACTACCTGGTAATGGTGATGTATTTTGTTGTGTTTGCTGTTGTTGTTGTTGTTGCTGTTGAGTATGAGAGGATGAGGATGATGATGATGACGATGATGCTGCTGATGATGATACAATCATTCGAGATGGTTCAAGTCTTTTAAGTTGTTTTTTATTTGTTAATGCTTTTGATACACGTCTTGTTATTTTCTTTTCTGTTGTTTCATTTAATGAATTTGTTTGTGTATTGGATTGATCATCAGCTAATAATGTTTCAATATTTGCTTCAAGCATTGGTATAACTGGTCGTTCATAAGATGATGACCAACATGATGAATCTGATTCAGTTAATGTTTGTTGAAATGTATCAAAAAAACGGATAAGTGATGATGTTAGTGAACGTGTTGAAAGCATATCTGATTTAAAATGATCAAAAATAATTAAAAGATATTCAAGACCAAATATTGTTATTGGATCATATTTTGTTAAAGATTTTGGACATAATTGTGGAACAATACAATAACCAACCCAACGAGCATACCATAATTCATAATTACTAGTCTAAAACAAACATAGAATTTAATATCAACAATGAATATAATATATTACCTTTTTTGTATTTGTTTGTGTAGATGATTCTTGTTGTAGCCATAGTTGATGAGCAACATTTGATGGCATTTTCCAAGTATTTAATAAATTTAAAAATTGTTTACCAGCTTCAAAAATAACATGTAATTGTTGATTATCATTTGTTGCTGTTGATGCAAATGTTGGTGGAGTTGAACAAATAAAATTAATCACAGCATCACGTATACATGGTTGCTCAAATGGACACATACCTAATAAATTAATCATATTTGTATTAATTAAATCTCGTCGTGTTGAATGTATTGCCATTGTTGTTATTGTTGATTGTAATGTTTGTGCAATAAATAAAAGTGTACGATTCGTTGATAAATCATGTTGATCAGATAATGATGATGATGTAGCAAAACGTATTAATAAATCAGCATCAAGCAATGTTTGTATAGCTGAATCAACTTGTTCTAATGTTGATTCTGATGACCAATATTTCGCTTTCGTTTTTTCATTATAATGTACATCAAATGAATGTTGACATGAAGAACAAAGTAATGGTTTACGTGTTATTATTGTATCATCATTTGTTGTTAAATTATTTATTGTTGATTCATTTGGTTTTATCCATCCCGCACAAAGACATAATGGTGTTGAACATTGAGAAAATGATGAAAGTAATTCGATTTTACGTGCTAATGGCCAATGTAATATTGTACTTAAATTACTTTGAAATAATGATGAAGAATTTATGTCTACCATTTACATCTAGAAATGAGAAATGTTCATATTTTATTTGTTAAATACAATAAATCATTAGATATTAAAATAGGCTTGAACAGCCCAATGATCTGAACAATAACGTTGAATAGATGGTATTATTTCAAGACCTTTAACTTCAAAATAGATCGGTTGAAATTTTATATCATTTTTTAATGATTTACGAAAATATAGACGATCGAAACGTGCTCGAGGTCGATTATTTTCGTTTGGAAAATAGTTATTTGTATTTACACACATATCCCATGTATATGTACATTCTTTTTGTTTACCAGTTTCAATCCATAAATCACATATACCCGATGGAATATTACCAATTTCTCGTAACTAAAACATAAATAAAAATATATCATAGATTTATTCTATATATACACCATGCTCATAGTATATTTCCATATTAACCAATATCAAGTCTTACTTCTCTTTCACGCATATTTAAATCACCACCAAATAGAACAATTCGATGATCTGGAGCATCCATCATTCGTTTAAAACATAATTTCAATTGTTCCATACGTTGATTACTTGCATATGCCTCAGTACCACTTTCATGATGGGATGTCATAAAATCAATTTCAATTGAATTTTTATACGTAGTCTATTGACATAGAAAAGTATAAAGCAATTGAATAATGTAACTATACATG